GAATTTTTGGCACACTTTTCGTGTCCTGCTTATTATATCTGACCTGTATTATTGGCACGTTTCTGCGGGTTCTGTTTCCATTTTTCTCCATTTGCGTTATAAAAATAAAAAAGCAGCAGTTCATTTGCTCCATTTAATATTTAAATAAGCATTTATTTCGCTGAATAAATTACATTTTTTTATGTTTGCACTTTTGATGTTTTGTTTTGTTGGTTAGTTTTTTTCCGACACACCTGTTAAAAATGAAATTAAAATGGGACAGCCACTGGTGAAATTTTTTTTTGAATTGTTAAACAAAACATTTTAAGCTCTAAGAAAAATAGTTGAAAAGTCCAATAGTAATGTATTAAAGTATTTTTAATTTGTTGTGAGCTTTTCAACGTCGGATATGTTGCACTATTAAAAATTAAAGTGAGTCCCAGCTATTTAACATCTGTGCTGGTAGCAACTTTGCCTTTAGGTTTACCTTAAGTGTGCCAACAAATCATGTTAACAATTCAACGAGGGCCGAACTTCGACGGCTGCCCGTGTCGACTCAGACTTGGCAACAATATCTCTCGCCTTTAGTGTGCCCCACAAATCATTTAGTGGCATGAATTATTACTGGGTAGCTAAGAACGTGCTAACAGCGTTAAAGTGTCATTACTGGGCTAAATGAGTCGGCGAACTGCAGAAAAAAACCAGTCAGGAATAGATACACACAACCCTGAAGTAATATGCAAAAAAATTGTGCAGAGCCACAGGAGAAAGGACTCCAAGGAGCGAGGAGAGTAAAAAAATATGTAGCCTGCAAACGGGCACAACTACATTGCTCAATGTCTGCGTCTAATTTATGTTGCTGTTGGTCAGCCACGCTTATAAATAATAGTTATTTCCACTGCCAGGTTGTATAATGAGGTATCAATGGGTATTTAGGACAACAAAATAAAATCAACCTATCAGACATTGTTAAAAAACTAACAGAATAATTAATTGCCCACTTAGGCAGACAATAAAAGAATTGCCCAAGTCTTAAACAAAAAGAATGAAAATGGACATAAACTTATAACTAGAAAGAATTTAATTGACATAACATATCTATAAAAAATTATAACTTTATCTAACTTGGTTATTTAAACCATATCCTTATTTTCAAACTTTCTAAATAATTCAGATTAATTCAGCTTCAGATTTTTTCAAATATTTCCTAAAAAACTAATGCATCACCTAATCTATAATAAATATTAATTTTACCATTCTTATAAAGTACTTTGTACTTGTATCGAGATGGGTTATAATCCGCCCAGTGGGGTTTGTTTTAGTACAAGTCTATATTATAACTCCCCCTCCAAGTGACCACATAAAGACATCGAAGGCAACTAGCCTGCTGATTAGCTCCATCTTCATGTGGAAAAGCGAAGCTGTTAACACTGATACGCCACGCTGCTTGCGGCTAAGTGCAGTTTGGAGCATCTTGAGGCCTTGGAGCCAGAGCACCAACGCCACATAAATTGCGGCACCCAAAATGCATAAACCAAGCATGTCGCGCAATCATTTTCAGCTGCCACGTGCCCCGGCATACATTTCGGGCACTTTATGGGGACTGGGCGGGGTTGGCCTCCTGCTACTTTGGCCAAAAAGGAGCAAACACACGGGCAGCGGCAGATGGGAGATGCGAGAGGAGTGCTCGAAAAATTTTAAAGCTGATTACTCAATAACTTTACTGGGGAGTGCATAAAATGCGGAGCATATCCTTCGAGTGCATAACTCCTGCTGCACTCCGTTCGCAGGAGAGCAGGAGCCAGGCTTTCAGCTGCCTGGCAAGTCGCTTTATGTGCACTTAAATTGTGTTTGTTATTAAAGCCGGTGAGAATGCTGCTCCACCGGAATCTGCTGCTGTTGTTTTCACTTGGACCAAATGAAATTTATGCTCAAATTGAGTTGCGTCCGTGTGCGTCGAAGTGTTTTGCAGGTAAAACGCAGTCAACGGCTGCCCCCTCGGCAACCTTTTCCACGTATTTTGTGACACTTAAGTGAATAATTTATGCTTGCAACATAATTGAGTTGCAGCTGCCTCCGTTCCCTGTCTCAACTCTAGAAACAACATTTCTTGAGTGGGGAACACTTGAAGGTCAAAAGAATTTACCGAAGATTATCCAAGGAAATGACAGCGGAATTTAACTTGCCTGAACTTTGTGTAGAAATACAACAAATACAACAAGAGTTTTATAATTAAGTTTAAGCCCATCCCGATTTTTTAAGAAACTCCAAACCATGAATAACATTACTACTTATAATAAAATAAATATTTTTATACAATTATCTGTTGCTTTTACTTTGATTTTCTTTACCCAAAGTTATGAATACAGTAATACATTTTACTTGCCTCTAAGCGTTCTGATTCCTAGACAATTGATGAATAACATTTGTATTTATATGCATGAGCATTTTTTTATTAATAGATAAAATGATTTAAAATTAAAAAGAAACCTTGTTTTGAAGAGAACAAATGGTCCATGCGAACAAAGAGAATACACTCAAAAATTCAAATCCCAGACCCAGAAAAAACTGCAAATCAACGTGCAACAAACAGGATAAATAATTTTTCACATACCACTTTATATTATTTATTTATTTAATTTTCGGCTCAATTTCCATTGGAATTCAACTCAATTTATTTTTCATCAGCGTGAGTTATTCAATTTGGAAATTAGGATAAACTTTTTGCGCCACGAGCTGTCATAGTCACTCCAACGAGCTTAAAATAGCAGCTATAAAAATATATAAAACCGTCGAGTTGGGGGATCCCATCCTTATGGCCAGAGATTCAAACAATGAAATCCTGCGTCAGCACACAAACCAGAATCTTTTATTTTGTTCTTATTCTATTATTTAAATGTACAGTAAATTCAATTAGGCCGCAGTTAAAAACAACTGGTGAAAAAAACTGAAATACATGCACATAGCTGAAATTCAATTACAACCGCTAATGCCACTTGTATTGCCTGAAGCGCCGGCCACAGACTGTTCAGCTCTAAATACCTGTAATCCGGCAAATTTAATTTGATAAAAGTTGAACTTCAATAAGCGCCAAAGTTGCCATGGTCGTCGGCCATTATAATTGTGGTCGCTGTGTGTGTGCTGACCACTTTTTGTTAAGCGGCCGCCGCAGTTCAGACCGCAAACAAATATGATCAGACATCCGAAGAGTGACTGCGATAAGCAACAAGCGGTAGGATGAAAAAACCCCGTTTGGAAAGCGGCAACACGGCGGATGAATATGGATTATACTGGCAAACACACACACAGCCACGCACCTCCACACACACACACCACATATCGGCCCCGAGTATATGCAACTAAAAAAAACATTTACAAGCGCTGCATACTTTTCTGCGGTGGCGAGAAAAATTCTTCATCGTCTGAGCTGGCAACAAAAAATTAACGCAAAACTATAAGTGCAACAATATGTTGCATTATAAATATATTAAATTAAGTGTACATTTAGAGAAAATGAAGCGAAATCACTTTGCTAAACCGCTTCGTTACTTAATATGATGCAACCATTAAGCCGCTTAAAATTAAAATAGTTCTATCCACAGTATTTTCTCGGTAAACTCAATCGAATACTCAATATAAAATAGTACGACTGCAACCGGTAACATAAACTAATATTCAATCCCTCAGCTTCAAATTAAAAACCTGACTTTATGCACAAAGTCATTAAAATGAAATTGAAAAAATATTTAATCAAACGCCAGCGCCAGGACTAGAAAGAGGAATGTGTAAAACGAGAAATCGCATTCTCAAACAATTTTGTGCAACGGAAAAAATTCTAATTTATTGAGTTAACGCCCATTTTTACACCCTGTGCACATGAACGGGATACGGGCGCTAGCTAACCCCTCATGGAAAACCCTCCTTGGGAAATCCTCATCCTCATCCTGATCCGTTGGTCACGCCCGGGCGCATGCCAGAGCCATGACCATAACACAGTCTAATTCTGCACAAAAAATTTTATATATAGGAAAAATTTAACGAAAAATTGCCCAACTCTCTGTGACTATCCCGCTTGTCGACGAAATGAAATTTTCACGTTGCTGATGCTGATGGGAACACGCATCCCGGACACACGGCGAACGAACCCCTTCTGCATTTACCACACAAACATTTTGGCCGTGTTCCGGCAAAACCTCACCGCCTAAAAAAAGGAATTAAAAACTTGCAAAAATTTTAATGGAATTCTTTTTTTTCATTCTTTCTACACTCACACTCCCACTTCCACAACCAGGCTCCCTGGTGTCATCCTGCCTGTCGTTGTTGGCGGTGGCATTGCGGAAATTGTTGTCCCCTTTGATTGTCAAGCGTCGGCTTACACACATAAATGTCACATCAGCATATAGCCAAGTGGGTGGCTGATGGCTCCGCTCCCTCCGGTGTTAGCCGTATAGATGAGCGAACAAATAAACGTTTATAAAAACCGGCAGGTTTAGGAAACGCCTTCCCCACTGCCACTGAGATAAAGCTTTAAGCGGATCTTCGACATGGAGGTGTAAATATTTTTAAAATAAACCCTGTCGGTGCAGTTGAGTGGGTTTTTGCAAAAATCATGTTGGTACAATTTTTTACCTGCAGTATCCTGATGAATAAAAAATCTGGTTTTTGTGTTACGGTTTCTGGTTGAAAAATACATACTTGATCTTTTAAGAAAAAATCTGAATTAAACTTAGCACGAAACAAAAATTCTTATAGAAGTGTTCAATGTTTTAATGTGCTAAATGAAGTGAGAACTAAGATGAAGATTAAAGCCCAACAGAACAATGTAAAAGAATATTGAACAAAATGATTCAAAAATATATTGTTAATATTGATAGTCTTAAATGGTATTTTATGTAAAAAATTCCCTTAAATTTCATTTGATAATTTTGAACAAACGAATAATATTTTTCATTCATAATTTATACAACATTTTTAAATTTCAGAAAATAGTTATAGAAATACACTAAACGCACTTGAATACATCGATTTTATTAGACCTCTGCTAACTTTTATTTGTAGACCCTGTAATATAAAACTTACGTGATGACAAACTTAAAAACAGAATTTTACAAGTATAACAACAAAAATCTCAGACTTAGAATAACCATTACATATGTACAACGTTTTTACACAAAATAAGATCATCCACATGGAATCCAGACACCTAAAGCTATAATCCCTTTAAATAATGCAATACTTCTAAAGTTGATTTGGAGCATAGAAATTGTTCCAAACTGCTTCGATTTTCTGCAACTCCGGAAGCGCCTTAACTTCAAATTGTTCCCCAATATTCAGGCACTGAAAATCGGTTTCGTTTTCGATGGGTGCGAACTTAATAGACTTAATGCTTTCGCAATTCGGATCGCTGTTGGCAGCGAAACTCGTCCAAACATCGATCATTCCCGTGATTACTTTATGTTCCGGGGAATCTGGCGCTGATTGATGTGACAACATGCTGTGGAATATGTAGCACAGATCGTCGCCGTGGCAAACACCTCGCATCTGATGACCACATAGCACAATCCTGATGGCATTGCACAATTTGGAATCGTGGTCGAAGCGGTACAAATACGTGGGAGCACTTGATTTGCGGACTCGAGTCAATGCTGCCCTGTAGATTGGGTGCCAGAACTCCCGATATGAACAAAGTTCCAGAAACTTCATCATGTTGGCCTCGTTGCAGGGTTCGTCTCCAAAATAAGCCTTCTTCAGCTGCAATCCGTAGTTTTCCCGCAGCTTGGGATCTGTATTGGAACCCAGATCGTTCGGTAGAAGGTTCTTACAGTTTCCCACTTCGTTCAATGTGGCTGGTCGCCTTGAGACCTCTGTTAAAAGGATAATACCCTTAGTTGGTATGTGATATGAAGTATTTAAGAGTACGACTTACCAGGATAGAAAAGCAGCCCCTCGAAACTGGTGCCTCCGAACATCATGGGCACCCTGTGGCTCCAACTTTCCTGCATTAGTTCATGGGGTGGTTTATCTATAACCGTATGATCGGTGGTATAGGGCTCTACAACTGGTCCGAAGGCGAACAAAACTCGATGATGCTTTTCATCATTGCTGAGAACTGTGGCGGAGGCCTTGACGATTTCACCGCCACTCACTGATCGCAGAAACTCAAAAATGGGCTTATCCTTATTGTCACCAGTGTATCCCAATTTTTGGGCCAGCCGATACGCCCAATTGTTTCTTGGCGGTCGAGTCCAGGGACACAAAACGCTCCCCGACATCACGATGGCTTTGTGGATCAGTCCCTCTGTTTGGGGACTCAGTGTGAGGAAGTGGGTGGAGGCTCCTCCTGCACTTTCTCCAAAGAGAGTGACATTTTTGGGATCGCCACCAAAAGCCTCTATATTCTGTTGCACCCATCGAAGTCCCATGATTTGATCCTTGAGACCTGCATTCCCAGGCACATCCAGTTGAGGATCATCCAGGCTAAGGAAACCCAAGGCACCCAATCGATAGGCCACTGTGACTATAACCACATCCTTCGACATAAAGAAGTCCGGACTGTACATGTCACGAGAGGCTTCTCCCACTTGAAATCCCCCGCCGTAGATCCAAACCATCACCGGACGCAGTTTACTTGGGTGCAACTACAATAAAGGGTTCATATTTAGTATTAGCTTGCAGCTTTTTTTTGCTAATTAAAGACTCACATCTTTGGCGTAGACATTCAAGTACAGGCAATCCTCTGAGCCCGCGTACTTGCGGAAAAACATGTGGGTCTGCAATGGCTTCTCTGCCGCCGAAGTGCAGTCCAGTTCCCGATCCCATGGCTCCACTGGTTCCGGGGCCTTGAATCGGAGCTCCCCCACCGGGGGCTTTGCAAATGGTATCTTCTCGAAGCTGAAGTAGCTTCCTCCCCAAATTGTGTTTCTTTTCACCCCGCGAACCGGTCCCAATTTGGTTTTTATCACAGAATAGACGGCTGTTGCCAACTTGCGCTGTTCGTACTTAAAGCTGAGCACCCTATAAAATATTAATTTGCTCGTAAGTAAAAAGCTTGTATTGAAATTGTAATTAATGCAGATTTGGTTTTGTGTACAGCTGAGTTTTTATATTACAAGCTGGGCTACCGACATCTAGTTACAGTCAGCGAAAATAGGTTGAAAAGTTCGTGGGCATGTTATAAAAACTGGTTTCATTTGGTATCGTTAAAAATCTCGCGTACTTCTTGGAAATGTCATAATACCTCAGGTTGATAAAGCGTTAGCTCCCTTTTACAAATTTATATATTTTAGCAATTTCTGCTATTTTAATAGGGTTAGCGGCAGTCACGCACTGGCGACATGACCACAGTGAGCACCCAGTGGCGAGCACCGAAAGCGGGTTACCGGCAAACCACTTTCAATGTCGTTAGAGCTCTTAGCTGCTTCGAAAGTCTTGCGTATTGTCAACAGCTTTTGACCAACCTCAACGGCTTGCGTTTTGCATGCACGACCAGTTTTCTATTTCTATAACTCTGCTTTGTTTACGCCTAAGATTTTTGTTTCTCATTTTTATGGCCAATTTGTGGGTGGGCGTGAGGCGGTTTAATTCGCTTAATGGCCTATTTTTATTCGTTCCCACTGCGCACCTTCGATTGAGGCGCAAGTTGTACATTTAACTGGCATTCTGCAAATGCACTGACACAGTTTGATTCGACATCATTGCACACGAATGCATACAAATCGGTAATTATGGCTGGGATCGAGAGAAAGGCGAGATCGGGCGGCTCAGATTGGATAGTACGTGACTACGGTGAGTCTGTGAAAGCCGACACCCGAATTACATATAACGTTTCATCATTGCAAACAAACCGATTTTGTTACTAAAATATTTCGTTCCATGCATTTTGTTAAGATGGCACAACGAAATACTGAAATAGCGAATAGCTCAAGAAGCCAAGCGTGACAAATGAAGGTAATAAATTTATACTAATTCGCTCACTTAACCCAAAGTTTAACACACTTTTTGTGTGGGAAACCTATTCAAATCGCAGTTAAGCACAATGCTTAGCCAATCTTATCGGAAGTACTTAAAACACTCGAAATTTAATCAATACAGGTAAGAAGGGCAAACTAAGCCATTTGATTAGCAACGAAACCCATGACTACGACATGACAAATCTACGAATATATATTCATTAATTATATTATTTATCTGGTTTTCCAATGCATGACAACAAAGCGTCGAGGTAAATCTGTCGTGTCATGACCATAGGGCAGAAATTATATTAAACATACCACCTGAAAGTGAAATGAACCCTGTACCCCAGGAACTTATCAGTAGATTTCCGCTTTCATATGAGTGTGCAGTCCAACAAACAATTAACTTGTCTGATTGGTATGAATATATGTATATAAAACGTGGATCTATTAGAATATAGAGTCAACGAGCAAATATTATTCCAGCTTTTAACGCAAACGAAAACCACTAATTAAAAAGATATAACTACCTTTATCTGCCATTAATTTTTAACGAGAGTTATTACGAACCCCTGGTGTTAGCATAAAAAAAGTAACTAAAAAGTAATTTAAGTGCGGTAACTACAAAGAATTTATAATTTTATTATTCCGTATACACTTTAACTATTATGTTAAGTGTGATCAAAATCTAATTCAAAACTGACCTAACCTACTTCTTTGATTTCCTCAATTGAAAACCCACATAAACAAACAGTGGTAAGTAAATATAGATACACGCAATTCACACAATTGTGTGTGGCTTTGCAATAATTTATGTTAAAAATACTAACTACCCGCAAAACTGCTAATAAACCTGCGAAAACGTGCAAAAAATAGTAAACAGAAATCAAAATAAATAAAAAAAAAACAAATAAGGAATGCCGCAACAGTGGAATTGCTGAATCATGGGTGAAAAACAGAGGGTAAGACAAAAGGCGAGGAAAACAAAGAGGACAGAAATGAGCAAGAGAAGAAGCAGCATCATTAGGTTTATGCAAAACAACAGAAAACAAGCAACATATAAAAAAAACAGAAACAACCTAAGTTTGCGCAACAATTTCCCCAACGCAAGCACATAAATTGATGTGTGTACGAGGTGCACGGAAAAAAATAACACAGGATATGTTAAGCTAAAAAGGTTCACATGTTTTATCATCATAAAAAAAAAAATAAATGCGTTCAATAAATTCTCTTCGTATGGAATATTTTTGCTTATAAAATTATTCTAATAACATTTCTTAGTGTGATGAAAGTATCTTTTGGTGTTCAAACCATAATATCTTTGATCTGCAACATTTTTAGTTGTGTAACCATGTCATCAGCTTTAAATGGATTGTGTTGCTGAACATCAATTCACGATTAATTTTTCTGTTGCCAACAAGCAGTGTTATATCTGCTCACTAAAATAAAAGTGTTTTCGATGATTTCATACACTTGAAAAGGGTTTAATCAGAGAACTTTGATTGTAAAGCAAAAACTAGAGATTTTCCCCAATGTACATGTGTGCATTCTTATGCATGCTGGAGCAGAAGTTATTGCAAAACCAAGACGCGAGACCTCAAAACACAGAAAACCGTTTAACGCTTGACGAGAAACTCAGACTGGAAAAACTCACTTAAAGGTCAGCTTTAGCATATCCATAAAGCGCGTGGCCATTTCGTATCTTTTTCATGAACACCCGAAACACACTGGTAGTTTATGGTGCAGCTGAACACGCTTCGATAAAGAGTTCCGATTTGGGGAAAGTGTCACAATAAACTCGCAGCTATCCAAAGGTAACACGACCGGCTAAGAGGCGATCGCCAAACACCGACGGAGCAAATAGAGCGTTCTTCAAGAGCGCGTGGCACCAACTAACCGTTGTCTGGTGATCGGGGGTTTAAGTTGGCGATAACGCCACTCACCAAACTCTCTCTCTCTCTCTCAGTGATTAAGAGCGGCGGAAGCGGTTTCTCACCTGAATCAGCTGTTCGGCTCTCAACTCTCTGCTCATCAAAATACCGGTGGAACGGCTTAACTGTATATTCTTAACTGGTATTATACGAGTTATAAAAAAAGAAACACATTAAAAGTGTGTAAAGTGTAAAATACAGGGAGAATGTTTCTATCGATTGTATAAAATACAAAGTAGTAATCTTAATCACAATTTTGTATTATAAAAGAAGTTTTGTAGTTTTTACTGACTAAAAAAATTATACATTACACAAGAACATTTTATGTATTATTAAAACACTGTAAAAACACGGTTAAATATTTAAAAGAAATTTAATTAAATCATTTTTTCTGACTACAAAGTATCAAATTGTCGTAACACTCTTAAAGTCGAATTTTGTTTGGTATATTTCTATATTAGAGCTTTTATAATAAAAGCTTCCTGACCGTATACGTAATGCTCGATGTTATGATACTCAAAGTTATGGCGATCAAGCTCGTATACTCAATATTGAACTAATATATCAAAGATAACCTTGAATTCATTCTAAGCTAATAAACAATTTCCAACCACTACTTAGGCCCTTCCGAGCCCTTTAAATAAAATCAAGGCCCTCACTTAGTTGTTATTGACGTAACTTAGAATAGAAGAATAATTTAAACTGTCTTCGTTGTTAATAAATTATTATTTCTAGAAAAAAAAAACTATAGAAAACTTGTTGAGGCGTGCATTTAATTTATAGAGGGACACTTAAAAAATAAGGAATTAAGGCAATTGATAAAGAATAACCTTGCCAATAACTTTGAAATATTTTCATACAGATAGCAGAAATAATGACAGGAACATTACAAGACTAAGTAGGTGATTAAGTTATCATTTTTCGTCGAAAATATTAAATCAACTGCAGAGCATTGATAAAAATATATATGTAGAGAAATTTAAGTTAATAAAAAATTGTCTGGGGTGACAAAGTATAGTTTTTTTTACTCATTTATTGATAATTGGGTTTTGTTTAAATTATTTAAAAGTCAAAATCATCTGGAGCGGTGTAGTGTTCCTCACTTTCAGTTACAACCATGCCTGCTTCAGCGGATGGAACATCATCACCCCATCCAAAGTGAAGAGTTAAGGCGATCAAATAAAAACTAAACAGAAAATTAAAAATTTGTTTAGTTCCAAGTCTTTGTGGCATTCCAAATAAAATACCTGATCAGCAAGATAGTTTTCAGTAATGCATCCATTTTGACTTGTCGAGCTGGGAGTTCCAACTATAACTGATATTCAGATGCATGAACAAAAATAGCAAAACCAGTCAGTAGAGTCAGCTGGATTGCTCTTACTATTAGCACTTAGCAGCTGATTCACAGCTAATGGCACAATAGCCGGCATTAAGTCAAACAGATCAAACAAATTTTGATTACAATGCCTTGACATTCACTTTGAATATTATATAATTATTGCAGCTAATCACTGAAACGATCCCATTGCAAAAACAAAGGCTCTAATTAGCGATGAATTAGTCACGCTGTATTTGATCTCCCGATTGGAATTAGGTATTCAATTTTCGCATCAACGCATACGCGATAATTTGGAGCTATTTGGATGGTCTGATAAACTCACATGAAAGCCAGACGGAAATTTTGTGACGCAGGCTTCGGTGACCGATGAAAAGTTTTATGGACGTGATAATGAAAATGCAGCCGCACGTTGAGTTTGCTGAATTCATTAGGCTTACTTACTGTTGTATAAAATCCCAGTTGGTGAATGCCTTCGGAGCAGTTTGCTTTGAAATGAGGCTAAAGTGCCTAAGTTTTGTCAGAGATACCAAATACTTTCTCATTTTACTGCTGTGAAAACTATTTCAAAGCACTTCCGAAGTTTTGTATTTCCTTTTTTCAAAACACAAAGAATTTGTTTTTGTAATAAAATATGGATTTATATAATTTCAAGTTTCATTGTTTATTTGCATCACATGACTTTGAAGCTTTTCGACAATAAATTTGTGTTTCCAACTGAAGCGGATACATGGAGAATTCTTAGGCAAACTAGTTTGAACCAGCTGACTTTAATCTTGGACATCTATAAACGACTTCATATAAATAGTTTTCTTTTTGTTTTATTTTCTTTTTCATATTCTAAAAATGATGTAAAACTTGGACAGGTTTTCTGTTTGTTCAAAATAACATTTTACCAAAAACAACCTATGCATACAAAAGGCTAAATATCTAAAAAGACTTAGGCTAAGAATATAAATAAATTGGTTACGGTTAACTAGTTGTCTCAGTTAGCTTTATATTTTGTAAAACACATACGGAAAATTCCTTGGTGTAGATGTGTGCGTAGTTAATGGAAGAAAAAGAATGGAACTCTTAACATAAGTTTGTGCTGACGACTTAAAACGATCTCGAATAAGTATAAATACGTTTGATATTAGTTGGCTCTTTAAAAAATATCAGCGAGACTTAAAGGAACGTTAAACATTAGTTCTTAGATCAGATTCCTTGGATGTCGTGCTTAGTTTGTTTTAGTTGGTTTGGTAGTTTCACATAGAAGGTACTTCAGTTGCGACTTGTTTCACACCCATCAGTTATGGGTCGTAGCTACATAAAAAACAGCCTGCTTAAGCTGCAGATTCCATCCGACGAGATATAGACAAAAGCGGATGAACTTTAACACACCTAGACTCTCCTCCTTGACAAACTTAACAACTGTAAACGCTCTCGATTTCAGGTCTAAAGCTATGCTTTGCATTGTTTAAAACAGGCTCTTCAACGTAAAGCTTTCAGGACAGTAAGATTTCGGGTGGGCTTACTTTGAATGCCAAAACAGTAATTAAATCTCTCTGCAATTTTTAACCAGTTCCAACGGTGGTGTAAAATCAGGGGTACCCCCTATAGTTTTCGAAATTCGAAGACTTGATATTTTGAACAAGCATCGCTTTGGCTTGCTCCTACAAATTTTAGTCCAACTAAACTATGGCCCACCCTTGTACAAGTAAAGCTAGGGATCTAGATCCAGCAGATCCCTACAGCAGTTCGTCGCGCCGGAAGAAACTCTCCCAGACCATCAGCTTCCTGAGATCGGGCACGTCGATCACCTTCAGCTCGTCGGATATGTTAAGGCACTTCAGCTGGTGTTTCTCGACGGCCGCCAGATCGACGGGCTGCCAGAGGTCCTCCTGCTCGGGATCGAAGTTGGGGTTCCCGCACGCGGCGAAGTGGGTCCACAGCCCCACCAGCCGCTCGATGCACTTGTACTCCCGCGTGTGGTTCTTCAGCTTCCGCGCCAGCGAGTTGTAGAACAGGTAGGAGAGGTCGTCGCCGTGGCACGTGCCCCGCACCTTCTTGCCGCAGCTCAGGATGCGCAGGTGGTTGAAGTGCTTCGAGTCGAAGTCGAAGCGGTACAGGTACGTCGGCGCACCGCCGGCGTACTGCAGGCGGGACAATACTGTGCGGTAGATCGGGAACCAGAAGTACTCGTGCGAAACCATCTGCAGAGAACGGAAAAAACAGAGATTATTTACTTGCAAAAATAATTTACTCTTGAAAACCCCTAATCTGGACAATTTAAATGTATTAAATTAAATTTCGTATATTTTAATTTTTAGTCATTAAGTTTACTTAAATATTTTTATTAAGTCAGAATATCATTTCTCAAAACAAGTTTCATGTATGTATAGCCCAAGGCTCAAGCAAACATTTCTGAGAAACATTTAGAGTCCCCAATAAGTTGTTATCGCTACATTTTGTATAAAGTGAATTCATAGAATTAGCAGATTTTTTCATTTCAAGAATATCAATCTAACAAACTATTTCCGCTGTATTCATTCTTAAGGCTTTTTGTTGTCCGCCTATCTTTGTGATAGCGTTCTCCATAAATGTTATTAGTTAGCATTTAAAACCCACCTGGAGGTATTCGTGCAGAGTTTCCAGACTCGGCGTTTTGTCGCCGTAGTAGCACTGCCTCAGTTGGTCGCCGTACTCCCGGCAAAGGGCACTTTCCCTGTCCATGTTCAACTCAATGGGAACCACGAAGCGGCAGTCGTCCAACTCGTTCAGACACTTGGGATTCGACTTGGTCTCGGAGTACAGCAGCAGGCCCTCGTTGGAAACACCTCCGATGATCAGTGGGATGTTGTTGCTCCAGGCGGTGCGCATCATCTCGATGGGTTTCGTGGGAACCACGCAGTGGCTGGTTACATAGGGCTCGATAACTGGGCCAAAGGAGAAGCCGATCCGCTCCTTCTTCTCCTCATCGATGCACAGCTCTCCATTTGCCTTGATTATATCTGATCCCTTGGCACTTTTCAGGAACTCCCACACATCCCGGGTGTTGTTTTCCCCAGTGTAACCAGCTTGGACAGCCAACCGATATGGCCAGTTCCTCTGGGGAGTCACCGCCCAGGGGGAAAGCGTGTTTCCCGACATGCAGATGGCCTTGTGGAAAAGCCCGCGTGTCTGCTCCGTGATCATCATGTAGTGGACCGAGGCACTTCCGGCACTGTCCCCGAAAATGGTTATGTTCGCCGAGTCTCCTCCAAAACGGGAGCAGTTGGCCTTCACCCATCTTAAAGCCAACACTTGATCTTTTAAGCCAGCATTGCCGGGAACATCAAGCTCTGGATCGTCCATGCAGAGGAATCCTATAAAGTAATTAAATTTTTGGGCATTTTTCTTGATTAAAACTGTATAGTCTATCTAACCTAGTGGTCCCAATCTGTAGTTGATGGAAATAACCACCACATCCTCGCGCAACAAGTAATCTGGACTGTAGCATTCTCGCGATGCCTCGCCAAACTGGAAGCCACCTCCGTAGATCCAGACCATCACAGGCATGGGTTTGGTGGGATATAACTAGGATAGAAAGAAGAATATTTACTTAATGTTTATGTTTGCATAATGCATAATGTAATATAATTTCCTTATACAGCTTCTTATCTATCTATCTTTTTATCAATCTCAAACTCATGAAAGGTTGTTTATGAAAGAGACTTTAACCAATTCTTTAAACTATAAGTATATAAATTGTTGTAACTGAGAGGATATTTCAAACCAATATTTATATACAATTATTTTGAATATTTTGTCCTATACTCACGTTCTTTGTGTAGACATTGAGGTAGAGGCAGTCTTCGGAGCCGTCGGTCATCTCGAAGACGAAGTGCTTCTGGAGGGGCTTCGGGCCCTGGGAGGTGCAGCTCTTGACCTCCGTCCAGACCTCTGGGGGCTGGGGGGCCTTGTAGCGGAGCTCACCCACCGGAGGCTTGGCGAAGGGGATCCGCTCGAAGCTGAAGTACGACTGGCCGTAGATGGACTTCCGCTTGACGCCCTTGATGGGTCCGTAGGTGGTGCTGACGACAGTCTTTTCGCTGGTCCTGTAGCGCCGCTGTTGGACCTTGAAGTCAACCATTCTGCAAAAGAGGAGAAGGAAGCCATGAAATTAAGGGATTTAACAGCATGATTTAAACATCCCCCCAAAGGATCTAAGCCTAATCAGCGGAAAAAGAATTCGCGGCCATTAATCAGAGACAATAAACGACGTCAGCTCTGCCGATATTGATGGAGGCGTCTTTTCCGTTTAGTGTTCTGCTGATAAGTTTAATTTTTTATCAGCCACCGGCTGACGGGCCAGGTGTGCGCCATTTATCAGGCCTCTGTGCTTTTTCCCCCGGGTTATATTAAATCAGAATGCGATATTTTGTTGCTCTTCTGTCTTTGATTTTTGCTTTCGGCTTATTTATTTTGAGCAGCGTTCAAACAAAATTCGACGCGCCCTGGTATCAAGAGATAAACAAAGCGCTAGCCAAACAAATTTTCAGGTAATTTTTTGAGTTGTGTAAGTCGTTCAACTTGAGTGGAGGAATTCAAGGGTAGAGGCCATTGAAATCGAAAAGATACTTGGCAATCTGAACTAACAAACTGACCTGTTTGTTTATTAAACCTGCCATATCATAAAACTGTTTTAGAAGTTCAAGGCAAGAACGCATAAAATAAAAAATGTATTGAAATGGCATAGAACACTGTGGAATTTTTTTTTGGGGAACTATTAACCTATTTAGTCAGATGTGCAATTTTGATTGTCTAATTTAAGACACCAAGGTTAATTGATAAGGTGTCCGAAGAACTCATAGATTTAGTACCCTCCTTAATAATGATTTCATAGGTGCGCGAATACAAATATTTGTACCCGAGGGACCCATCCAATTTTAGATCACAAAGAGGGGGCTTTTGTTTATCGCCTTCCATATTGGGAAAGTCATGTATTCAAAATAAAACCGTTTCTGTCATTATTTCCCCTTTCAAACGAATGATGCAAAGCAGAAAAGTTTCGATCGGTTTTGTGAGCTCACCGGCTAAAGAAACGTGTTTCAACTTTTAATTAATGCCTAGGTGAGTCCGAGTCTGTCATAGGCAGAGGAGATAAAACCACAAGCTATATCTGAGAGATCTGTCACACTCTTTGTGTTCTTCGCTTTGCGGTTGTTTGCAAATGTCATGAGCAGCAGAGCAACCCCAAGGGTAGCGAAAATATATCAAAATTTGTGTTTATTAATAGCCGGAACGAGCTGTTGCCCATTTTTCGGTCGAGTTGGAGGCAAAGCCCCAACGCATGATGTGAATAATACATCCGGAGCAATTCGGCTGCTACTATCTTAGAATGCGCCCTTGAACTTAGCTCTGGAAATTGTTATGGCAAAGAAGCGCTTAAGCTAATGGTCGGCACCTATAAAAAGAGGGAAAGTCAATATAAATAATGTTTATGACAGCTCTGCCCCTGGCATTAAAATTGTGTCCTAATGCCGGGCTTGCGTGTGGCAAGGTCGTTTCTCAATTGGGGTCCTTTAACGCACCCAAATGGGGCGAGCTGACCATTGGGCCATTTTTAAAATGCTGAAAGCTCATGGGACTTACATGTATCCTTTGCCCATGGTTAATTTTATTTTCATTAGACGGAAAATAAACAAATTACGAAGGGTGCAGATAGTCAAATTTTGTGTTAACTCATTTTCTGGTACTCAAAATTGCAATTTTCTGCTAAACGATCACGGGTGTCACAACTGATTTATGTGTTATTCTTGGCCTCTGCAGCGATAAATTTAAAGCAAAGTAAACAAGAAAATTCTGTTGCCCTGGAATGGGAAATTTTCAGCTGCTTATTAGCAACAAGTGACGACAGCTCCGAAAAAAGAAACTCATTTTTTTAGACTTAAAGACAAACAAACTTTGTCCCGGATATTATTATTGTTTTATAAAAGAATGTTGCTTCGAATATAAATATATTGTATAAATATATTAGTTAAGATAAGAGTATGATTTTAAATATGAAAATAACCAACAGAATAATTTATGATCATATGAAGTAATTAGTATAAATAGCACTAAACGTTTCCCAAAAACAAAACTGTTTGTTATTATTTTTTTTGAGTTTGCACGTACCCAAGCTAAAAAAAAGTCTTGAAAATGGAGCAAATGACATTTCATAGCACAGTTCACCTTATCAACATAATGCTTGGAACATTTTTCAAAAAATCCTGAAGTTTGTGATTATCATATTGCACTGAGGGGCGAGATAAGCCCGGCTTATGTCACATATGATTCAATTAGTTCGAGAACACACCCGTAATCTTCCCGGCTGAGCGTTATCAGCTAGACGCAGAACAAATCCGGCACGCGATAGAGGGAAATGTGAGACCATTTAATCTAAGGCTACATCAAATGTTGTCTGACCGACTGACTGACTGACAGACATTCATGGCCATGATAGTTTCTTGAAAAAGTCAACACCACGCGAGAATTATGATTACTGCTCACATTAAAGTAAATACATTAAACAGCGAGAACTTAATTTCCGCCTCGGAAGAGCCATAAAAGTTGGCTTCTATTTCTGGACACTTTACATGGCCAAGTAGGGAACTTTTGATGACCTTGGCAAGGCTGCAAAAGCTCTGTGCGTGGACTGCAGAATGAAAGCTCCGTCAACATGAATGAAATAGTTGTAATCGAGGACAAAAGCCTACAAAAAGGTTGAGCTTTCATTGTGGTCTAGCTGCAGGTCAAGGAGCTATCTCGAGGATGTTTTGGGTTGGAAATAAGGCGAAGCTAAAATATTTACAAGCAGTTAAGACTGCCTTTCCATAAGTTATTGTACTTATCAGGATGTTAAATGAGTAATTTTAAAAAGTATGAGCTCATTACTCAAATATTGCATATAATTACCAAATCAAGATACAAATAATGGAACTGGAAAGAATTATTAATAAATAAGAAGTTAATTATAATTTAATCGACACTGAATGGGGTTAATACATTTAATGAACAACTCAAACTCATTTGCGTCTTTTAATTTAATGAAAAATGCGCTAAATTTTGAACTCATTCATTGAAACACCCTCATAATACATTTTATGTACACATACAAATTTATCATATTGCTTGCTTTTGTCGCGGCAATTCTTTCATTCTTTATTCATTAAAAAAATTGTTTTCCTCGCACAAAAGCTTCGCTAAAAAAATAATAGAGAAGAGAAAATGCGGCAAAATTAAATGAAATTGACAAGTCGAGAGGAGTGTTTGTTTGTGTGTGTGTGTGTGTGGGCGGTAGATAGAAGGCGAGCACGGACGACGAGCGACACAAGTTCACATTTTTACAAACGAATTTTTGTGCCGCGTTGTACGCGACGTATGCGCAACGTCAAAAATGAAACGCACCGAACAAAGAAAACTAAGAAGCACATTAGTCTTAAAACAATAAATTTCTTAAGACTAAGCAGCTGACCGATGCAGAGAATGTCGCTTAAGAGAATGTTTTGTAAGTTGATTGTATTGTAAATGAGTTAAAATTAAAATAATAGAGGAGATTCTCAGTCTTGAAATCCAAGAGGATATACGTTTATTCTTATTGAGGTTCCACAATATACTGATTAGAAGAAGATACTTTGAAATATGTTAACTATTTGTAACCTAGTGAAATTATTTCCTAATACGACCCATCTAAGTTTAGTTTCAATGCTAGATTCCCTTTTGAAATTCTATGCTTTTGCCTTAGAAACTACTTTCGCTTTTGGTCTCCAGCCAAAATAATGGCTATCCGAATGAAGATGTTCAGTGCATCCATGTAAATGGCCAGGGCGTGATTGATTGGATCATACAGCGTCTTGCTGTACTGGGGATGCATCTCCGCGGACTTGACGATTCTCTGCGTGTCGTACAGAAGGAATCCGCTGAACAGGATCAGTCCGCCGTACAGGGACATGCTGGCCAGCCCCGCCCCCACCGCAGTGGTGGGCGGCAGCCACATGGAGGCCAGCGAAGAGGCGAAGACCACTCCCAGTCCGATGGCCAAAATGCCGCCCATGTGCAGGAACTTCTCGCTGGGAGCACAGGCAGCCACAGTTGAGAGAGCTCCCACGACTCCACCGGTGTAGAGCAAGGCCTTGGTCAGAATGGGTCCCCCCAGAAGGCAGATGGGCGCCAGGACAGCACCTAAAACGGCACAGTGGACCAGCCAGGCCATCTGCTTGGCCCCGAATCCCGGCTCGTATTCCATACCCTGGGCAACAGCGCCACTGAGCATCACCAGTCCCAGGGTCACCAAGGAGGCAATCCACCCGGAACGCGTCATCAGGGACATTATGGCCTCCGATTGGAAGCAGCCGAAGGCCGAGGCAGCTGTCACCCCGCAGGATGCTCCGAAGTAGGCGTAGGTGGCTCGGATTCTATCCCTCACGTACTGCGGCCAAACGGTCGAGTGATCGTAGATGCTCGGTTGGTTGGAGAGTCCCAATCCGTAGTAGCACAGACCTATGAGACCCATCAGGGCTGCCCCTGCAGCAGCTCCCTTTCCCATGGAGTAGGCATTCTCGCTGGGAGGTCCCATCATGCGATCCTTAAGCGAAGGTCCTCTGGTTCGACTCTCCAGTTGAGTGCGGTCGCGATCCCTCGACTCCCTGGAGTACTTCCTCATTGACAGCAGTTGTAAATCCTTCTTGAGTGCCGCTGATTTGATGGGATTCTTTGGAACACCACTTCTCATCGAAGGCTGGCTGGAGCTCCACAGACGAGGACCTCCTGATTGGTTCAAAAGGCGCAGCGATCGTCCTGGCAGCACATGGGTCAAACGGGCCAAAAGCATCTCGAAAGTGTACTCGATACTATTTCTATACTAAAATGTTTTCTTTGGCTTTGTCAGAGTTTTTAATGAAATGTCTAGTGTAACATCAGCAAAATGGCGCAGAGGAAACCCCACAAGTTGTGTGTTGCAGAGCCAAAGATTCTGAATATGTACAATTTAGCAAAACAAATTTTGAGACAAGACTGACTAAGTAGATTTATTTTGTCAGGGCAACTTGGTTGTAGTAATTGTTTTATGAGAGCTATAATTAAACTTATTTATGGTCGGAAATATATAACTTTTTTATTAGTTATCTATATTGTTTTATTATCTTTCGTTATCACCTTTCTACCTCTTGCGAATAATTATTTAACATAGGAAATGAGCATTCGCTACTGAAAGAAAAAATACTTTTTCCGCTTTAAACGAGATCAATCTAGCGAAAACGAGATGCGAGAATCTTCAAGAGATATTTTTATACCTCATAACGAATTTTTGCACGTGCCCCTAAAGAAACGAGAATTCCCAGCCAAGATTGTCTGTAATTGAAGGTTAATTGGCAGCCAAGCGATGAATTTGCTGTGTCAATTGATCAAACCAATGACTAAAATTGATTTCAACCAATAAATAACAAATTGGAAATGACCAAATTTTAATTTCAAATACTTAAAGGCAGGCCATTTATTGAACGAAAGTCACAAATACTTTGTTTGTGAGTTCACAATTTATGTGTGCAAAATTGATTGAATGTGGGCTGTGTGAATTCATTTTAAACATTTTCAACCGACAAAAAAAAAACGATTTAAATATGCAAATGAATGCAGAATTGAAATATATACAAAATTGTTTGTGATATGGCGTCATAATATTGCAAAATATACGAGAGATATCAATGGAAGTTTTTTTCTTCAGTAAATACTGTGAGATAAATGACATTTCAACTTAAACAATAGAAAGCAAAATCGTGCTAGCTTTTTGGAATATTTGGCTACAAATATTGGAAATAACTAATAAAACATTTTGGAACTGACATTCTACTCGCTACAATTCGTTTTGGTGGAGATTGAAGTCCAATGAAATCATCAAATGAAGGGGCCAGAAACGAAACCAGTTGGCCACCAAACCAAGCTGATCTCATTCAACACCATTCCCATTCTTTGCGAAACGTCAAACACTTTTTTTGCACACTAGCCCAAAATGTGAGTCAGCCTCTGATGGGTTTACTAGGTTTACACAATACAATAATTTACATACATCCCGCAGACATCTGGGAGCGGGTTTGCGGAGGCATTCTAGTTTGCTACCTAATTATTTGCGCAGTTTAAGTGTCGGCAAAAAGCCCACAGACAAAAGAGAGAGCTAAAGACCCCAACCAAACACAATCGACTCACACAACGATGGCTGTATCTGTGTGAGCTACGGCTACTGTGTTAGTAGGTATCTATGTTTGCTCATAATGAAGACGAACTACATTTTTATAGAACCAATAGAGATCACCTGCGAGCAGTAGCTTTGAATTCGTAACTAAATAAGTATTTATCCTTATAGAGAATATCTAGATATATATATTTTCTAATCACAAAAAGTAGTGTTTCAAAAAGTTTCAAAGCGTTTTTACCTGTGCAGATAAACGGTGAGAATATATTTAGATACAAAAACCAATGCATTGCTTGAAATCATTTGAATTTTTCATTGTTGTTTTATGGTTTTGCTTAATTGTTTTGAAGTAGATAATAGACTGTTGCTAATTGAAAAGCTACATTTTAAATTCAAATTTGATTTCATGGTTTTCCAAATATGGCACCACTTAATAACTAGTTGCAAGTACACTATTTAAAGGTTTCTGAATCCAGTTAAGCATTTTGTACCTTTTTAGGTAGTATAGTATGTAAGCACCCTTCATTTTCCACCTGCCTTCTGTTTTTGTTGTTTACTCGTACATAATTAAATATGTATGCGTGTTTTCCGTAAGGATAGCCAATCCCTCGGGTAGGACATTGTAAACAGCTGCTCAGAAATATCGAAGCAATTTCAAGGGCCCCCAGCTGCTTAGTCAAAAAAATTGTATTTGCCGAGCATAAATATTTTCCAGAGGGGTTGTTATGGGAATATTTTTACGGGAGGTACAGGTATTCGGAACTCAGAGCACACTTTAATGTTCTACTACAGAGCTGTTCGTAAATCATAAATATGTCATTTTTTACCCTTGGCTTGTGGAGGTGTGCAGTTGAATTCTGTAGTTTGCTTCATTTAGGATGACACAATGCGCTGATGTCATGTGCCTTGTATAATTGGAATTCTTTTCACTCGACTCTTAGCTAAGCAAATTAAATGATTTAAAGTGCAGTATAAACCAAATTTTATTGCCTAACCCAGTAAGGAACCGGCTACTTTGTTGAACAGTTTAATGAGATACTTGACTTTCTTCAATAAGTATATTTATTTTGTCAACTTACTTGAGGCCAATTTTGAACTGATCAAATGCTGCCATGGAAGACATGTTGCTTCTTTTTAGCTTTGTCTTTTCGGCACGTTTTCAATCAAGAGCTGCTTTTCAAAAGCAGCAAAAACAATTTCGTTTGGTTTTAATAAATTTCAAAAATGTGTTGGCTTTTGTGTTGCTTTGATAAATATTAAAAAAATGTTTTTATAAAAATTGTTTTGGTTTTTACGCCTAACCGAGTTGAGGAACTGCCAGCTGTTGGATGGCCTTGCAAGGACTGCGTATATCAACAAAAATCTGAGCTTTATGTCCTGCGCACAAACACACGCACACGCGTCGATAAACACGCTGGAAAACGAAAACGCAGGATGTGGAAATTCCGGAACTAGCTGCTATCTGCTATCACATTACTTTTGCTCGTGTCGCGGAATTAACTTGTGTAAATCGGCTTGCTCGCTATTGTTGCCCGGTGGTCTTTTATATAGTTTGTGGCGTTTTGTGGGCGGTGGATAGTATTTGATTGCTATGGGTAGTTTGGCATTTGTTGCCGTTACGCGTCCGCTTGGCGTGAAGGCAGCTCGTCAACTGCCCGCCAAAGCACAAAAAGTTCTAAGCGTGGCGAAAAGCTTTTCGGACGCACGCGAAACATAAAAGCGTTTCTCGGTAGACGCGGGAGATACCGCGAACCTTTATCTACAAATCGGTAGTGCCGCAATTATGTGAACTGGAACACTCTTATTGAACTGACTCACTGCCAATTACTCGGCACGAAATTCAACTTTGTCCTGCCGCACATATCCACTTTATCACTGTCTACACAAGAACGCGAAGATAGCGCTAATCGTATTGATTCGCACTGGGGAACAAGTTGTGATTTCGCTGATTCGACAACATTTTTTCGGTTGGTTCTTTTTTCTTTGATGGGGGTGTCATACGCCAGTAATCTTTTATGGCCCACTCATGGTTTGATAAGGGCGCGTGGAATCGATTGCACGAGTGAGTCATATTTTATGGAGGTGACTTCTTGGAAGCTGTTATCAGGATAGAATCACTGGGGACTTTTAGGAGTTATTCATTAAGTTAGTTCATTTGCAACATAAAATTATTTATTATAGTTATATTAAAGTAATATTATTAACCTATATCTATTAATGTTTTGGGAATTGTTAATAAATAAGTGTGCAGATTCTCTGCCTTTTTTTTAAAATTATTTTTCAAAACTAGCATTCTTATTTGGTTTTATATTCTTATCAAACAGTTTTCCAAGTAACATTCTTAGTCGTACAATAATGTTTGGACGCCTTCCCATTGCTTCATCCTAGTTATCCCTTGCGTCAAATTAGAATGTACACCAGGAAGTCCCCATTTCCTCTAATAAAGTCATTCATTACAAGCGTGTTACTCTTTTTGGTTTCCCATTGGAAGCTAAGTAAACAAGAAAACAAGAAGGGCAAAAACAAAATACAACAAATCAGGATAAACACAGCTGACTGAAGGAGCTGACTCCTGTTGCTGCTAAAAGCTGTTTTCCTGGCTTAACTCAATCCAAGGAAAGCTCTGCTGGCAAGCTTTTACTGCAAAGCTTTCAACTGAAAAACTAATTTTGATTTTTATTACTATGTTTTTCGATTTGGTCTGCCTCAAGTAATTGACTCTAGTTATGGTCAGTTCTAGTTTGCGGTTTAGATTGTCACGCAAGATTACACCTAATCAAATTATGGGCTTAAACAAGAATTTATTTATACACAAAAAAAAAAATTGTTTATAATTTCTTAATAGATTTGTGTCTAACGTACTAAAGCAGGCGATATACAAAGAGATTTAACCGAAATGAGAGAATACGAAATGTTTTCCAAATTTTCTTTTTTAAATATCAATTGTATTGTTCATTTGAAAATACTGACTTACCAATTAAAATGTGATCCCAATTTTTGAATTTACAGAAATAAGACTTAATAATTTTTTTATGTGCATGCTTATAAGAGCGGCGACAGATTTGTTTATATTATGATATGCTAAATAAATAACCTTGGCCGGGGGTAATATAAACTCTCGTGACTTTTGGCGCTTATGTTGCCATGCGCTTTTCGCTCGTTGAGCTTTTCAATCAGATCTTGCTTCTATATAGCTCACTCCCATTCGGATTAAAGTTTTCTCTCGATTTATCTCTGGATTCTTCTCTGTGAGCGATCGCGTGCTCTGGGGTCAGCACGTTTTTTCGCTATACGTACGGATGGTTCTCTAATTCATTTAAATCAATTTAAATAAAGTTGTTTTTTTTGTGCAACTCAGCAACGACTATTTCTGGCATTGTCGGACCGTCATTGTTGTTAGATTTCAAATGATTTTAATTAAGCCAAACTGAGTCCAATCAGCACCAACTGAAAAAGTATTATTAATAGAAAAAGTTTGCTATTCTAAGTATTGTTTTGGGAGGTTCCAGTTTGCCATATTCATGTATGTATGGTTATGTTTGTATGTATGTTGCTCTGTTATTCGGCTTATCATGTTTACAAAATTTAGCAAATTCCCCAAAATAGTGAACTGGTAGTACAATTTTTTTGTTATCGTGTTTTGAATATCTCTTTTAATGCCAAAAGATGTGATAAAAAAAAACAAATCACGCAATTTTAAATATTCTATTACCGAGAATATTTTTCTATTCATTGGAAACTAAATTTCATGGAAAAATGTAGCGATTTTTTCTGCTGTTATGCGTCAAAATATTTTACAGCTTACCGTTTTGGACTGGAATTCGGGAGAGCGATTAAATGTTCTTCCCCAAAACAAAAATATGGATGACCCACAATAAATTCCTGGAAATTTCTTTGCTTGCGTCTCACCGTTTCCCGGCCAAAAATTGGTTAAGAAAATGTTAACGGAATATCAAATGTCCAGGAGCTGAGTTGAAACAACGTGACAGCTCAGCGGTTCAAGTCGCACATGATAATCATGAGCATTTCGCGCCGCGCAACAATTGCCTCATGAATTTTTCAAAGGCAAATCAAATCAAAGTGGACCCTCTGCAACGCCCCTCATCAGTGTCCCCTTTTTCCGACTCGGCGAAGTCATAATTTTCCGGCAGTTCGCGTGACTTTTCCATGCCATTTCGTGACTTGATTACAGCGCACGGTTAACATGCGCCCTTGTTTTTGTTTTCGGTTGTACAAGGATAATTGGGGGAGGTCGTGGGGTGAAGATTTCCCCGAGCCATCAAAGCGCCATTCCCCTTCTTCGGTTCTGCACGTGACACAAAACTATTGTCTGTGATTTTAAAAACTCAAACAAAAACTTCTGACACACTTTAAGGCAAAGGCAGCACCCACGTCTGGCTCGAATTGAGGGGACTAAATGAAATGGGATAGCTCGTTGAAAGGAATGCCTTTTAATGGTATTGATACTTGCGGTTCGAAAGAATGTACTAAGTGCGAAGTAAAATGGGAAATTTAATTTAATCTGCTAAGGTTGTGGAGAAATAATTGCTATGTGACTAGAGTCATAGAATGGAATTTCTTAAAAGAGGGATTAGTGAAAAATTAAGAGTCTTAAACACTGCGCTTTATAAAAAAACTTTATTATGGTTCTTATAACATAATTTGAAAAAGAAATTCATGTTCATGAAACACTTTTTATTAAAAAATGGCACTAGCATTCATTAAGAAATGCCAATGCCCTAGCCCAAATTTGTAAACTTTGCCGAAAGAGTACATTTTGCCTAAAAGTACCCAACAATAAATAGTAATTTAATACGTCAAGCTACAATAGGATATCTAGGCAATACGCTTAAGTTTTAGATACCAAGTAGAACATTCTTTTATCGCTTACCTATTAAAGATTTGGTTTTCAATTGGAGAATTAAAAGCTTTAAATAATGTCTATTTCTAAATATATAACCCCAAAACGCTTGTTTCAGTCGTCATAAAAATTCATAAAAGTATAAATGTTATTTATCTTTTTTTGATTTATAAAATTTTGCATTCGTTCAAAGCTGGCGAAAGTCTAAACGTCCAATAAAATTCTTTATGGACGTGTGTGCTTAATAAGCCTGAAATTATAATACAGGCCATTTGTTTCCATTTCTAATAATACGAATCATACCTCGCGGCAGCCACAAAAATTAGATTGCGAAGTTTGAGCAGCCCCAAAAAGCTGGCCCGAGAAACAAGTTAAACTAAACTCGCAAAAAGTACAACATTTGCTAAGCACCTGTAAACAATAATTACGATATTACAGCATAAACAAAACGCCGAAAATCCCGTTGTTGGGCAGAGGTCAACGGAAGTCAACGCAACCGAGCTCAGTAAATTTTAAGCACGTGTAAGTTTTTAATTACAATTAATGGTCGGGCGGACGGGACGCAGGATGACAGGCTTTGCTGTACGTATGTATGTGTGTATATGTATGTGCATTGTGTTTTTAGCGGCCTTTGAAGTTTCCATAGATACTAACACACAAGCGAAACAGTGCTTGATATAATTTTAAAATAGGTGGGGGCCTACAATGTACATGTGTGCTTAAATATATATTTGCGGCCAGGTGTGCGCGGCTTTCGGTTTTGTCACTTGACAGCCATCATCTGTATGCGTGAGTGTGCCTCGTTTTTGTGCAGGTGTTAATATTGTCATGTGTGAGCGCTTAAGTATTTTTAATATCATAACATGTTGCATACTTTATGGGGGTTTCTGAATGGACTTAACCCAAACTCACATGCTGGCGTGATTCTGTCACTCACACAACATAAATAATTCGATCAATGTTGCTGATGTGAAATTATTAAACAATAAATAAGTAAACAATTTGGTTTTTGAAATTACAAAACCTAAGCCTATTCAAATTATTAACTTTTTCCTTTTTATATATGCATTACGTGTTTCACAAACAATTCGATATGGTTGTGTAGTGTTTCATTCTTAAAAGCGAGTTTAATAAACTTAAATTAAATATATATGTCACTCAAATATAACAATAATAATAATATAAAATTATTTCTTTCTCTAAAATTCCGGCCAACGCATTTCATCCGAAATTGCTACAATATATTTCCCCTTCGCCTTTGATGGCCAATTTTCATGCAAATAAAATATTTACCGACTCGTGTTTGTGTATATATGTATGTCTATATTTTGTATATACCCTTACGGCTATGCTTTAAAAAATCGCTATTTACATGTGTTCATTTGATGTGCTTTTAAGGCCACTTCAGGGCCAACTTAGGGGCTAAGTCTAGGGCTAGGCTGTATTGCTATTGATATATGGTATTCCGATGAGGAGAGTTTGACAAATGTGGGTGGGTCTTTCAGTAAAGAAGTTCTCTATCGTAGACGCTGTCCCAAAGTCTCAGCTTTTCAGCTTCTGGCAAATCAATTACTTGCACATCGTGCGAAATATTCAGGCACTTGAAGACGTCATCCTTCCGCGAAATCGGCAGCCACGCCCCTGGAGGATGTTCCTTCTCATCGTGGGAGACCATCGGAATGTTGGGGTCCCCGGAAATGGCAAACTGAACGACCATGGAGACCAGTCGCTTAATCGTCTTGAACTCAGCTGTGCGGCGCTTCAGTTTCTTGGCCGCCGCGTTGTAGAACAAATAGGACAGATCATCCGCGTGGCAAGTTCCGCGCACTTTGCGTCCGCAGGTGATAATTCGCATTGTGTTGAAGTGCTTTGAGTCAAAATCAAATCGGTACAGGTAAGTTGGAGCCGATGGAGCGTGATGAGCTCGAGAGAGCAAAGTCCTCTGGATGCCGTGCCAAAAATATTTGTACGAGAAAAGCTGGAGGAGAGAGGATATTAATCATTTCATTAAGTTTATTACAGTGCATCAAGTTCTTACATCACTGTACTCCAAAATGGTCTTCCTGCTGGGAGTCCTGTCGCCAAAGTACAGCTCCCTAACTTGCTTCCCAAATGCCTTCTTCTGCTCCTCATTGAGGTTGGCATCCACAGGAGCCAGGTTCTCGCAATCTCCCAACTGGCAAAGTAGTTCAGGCCACTTGTTCACCTCTGGGAACATCAGGAGACCTTCGAAGGAGTTTCCCCCGATGACCATGGGAATGCTGTTGCCCCAGCAGTTGCGCATCATCTCTAGTGGGGATTTGGGGATAACGCAGTGCGGGGTTTCATAGGGTTCGATGGTGGGTCCAAAACTGAACATGGTCAACCGCTGGTGGCGCTCCTCCATGGTGATTATGTCCTCGGCCACCTTCAGCATGCTGCTGGCCTTGCATTTCTTGAGATGGGCGAAGATTTCCTTGTCGTTCGGCTCACCAGTATAACCCGTTGCCTGAGCCAAGCGATATGGCCAATTTATGTGAGTTGGGGTCTGGGCCCAGGGTGCAAGGGCAGCTCCCGACATTACGACAGTCTTGTGGAAGAGTCCTCTTGTCTGATCCGTCAGCATCATGTAGTGGGTGGAGGCCCCTCCGGCACTCTCACCGAAAACGGTTATGTTCTCCGGATCGCCGCCAAAGAACTGGCAGTTTTTCTTAACCCATCGCAGAGCCATCACCTGATCCTTCAGTCCTGCGTTTCCGGGGACATCCAGCTCCTCGTCTTCAAGGCTGAGAAAGCCCAGGGCTCCGAGGCGATAGGATATAACCACCAGAACTACGTGTTCCATCATTATGTAATCAGGACTGTAGAGATCCCGCGAAGCTTCTCCCATTTGGAAACCACCGCCATAGATCCAAACTAAAACCGGCAAGGGTCTGTGGGGATGCAACTGATGAAAAAGATAAATTTAATTAATTTAATTTGCAATCATATGGTTATACAGTTGTACAATAAAATCAAGCGGAGTAGTTCAAGAAATACAAAAAAATAGTTTTGAATGTGCTTATTTTATTTAGCTAAAAAATCCATTTTTTTCAGACTATGATTGTTAATATCAGTGAGTAATATTAAAGTGCTTCTAATTATTTATTGCTATTATTATTGATTCTTTAGAAAATAAGGTATAACAACATTTTTCGAGCTGCTTAAAAAATGCTAATAGCTTTGCCAAAGTTTAAAGAAATATAATACAAGTGTTTAAAAGGGTTACCACTTCGACTCACCTCCCTTGTGTAGACATTGAGGTACAGGCAGTCCTCGCTGCCTTGCACCTGCTTCAGGACGATGTTGACCTGGCAGGGCTTGGACCGCACCCGCGTGCACCGCTTGACCTCTGACCAGTGGTCGGGCTCCACGGGCGCCTTGAAGCGCAGATCCCCAACGGGGGGCTTGGCGAAAGGGATTCCCTCGAAGCTGTAGTAGTTGTTGCCGTAGATCGACTGCCACTTCACCCCCTTCACCTTCCCGTAAACTGTATCTGCGATGACCTTGTCATTGCTGCGCAGGCGCTGCTGGTTTGTCTTGAACTTCACGTAGCTGCAATAAGAGTTGGAAAATATTTTAAATTTGAGACGGCAGGTCAGAAACATTTTGCTGAAAATGACACCTCACGGAGGGTTCGGCAAATCGCTTTCGGTTTTGTTTGTAAACAAACGCTCGACGGCGCGTTTCCACTTTATTTTTTTTTGCGATTTTTCAATTAGCGCGTAAACAAAATTGAATATAAATAGGCAATAGTGAAAATAGAATATGTGTGGAATGTCATGTATTGTTTGATGCCCTATAAAGAAATAATGTGATCTTAATTTCTTTGTGTACTGATGAATAGGCTTTCTTATTGTTTTATTTTATTCTTGACTAAACAATTTAAGAGCTTTTAAGTGATGACAAAATTTAAAGAAAACTCTAAAGTTGACTTGCATTGTTGACTCACAATAATTTTCAAGTCAATTAATTCTAATGATTGAAATCGAACGAAAACACTTGTTCCTTAACTTTAAAAAGTACTTTTAAACAAAAACAATCAGCATGTTTCTAGAAAACCAAAGCTACCTTGTTAATTCTTAATGCCTGCTTGCTATAATATAGGAAATACCCTATTTCGCTGGAGGCACGGCCCATTTAAATTTCAAGTGCGTTTCCATTTTGGAACGTGCGCTCTAAACGACGCGTGAGTCGATCCACAACAGACCGCCATTCGCAGCCACAATATAGAAGAACTCATAAATGTCTATGCTCGTATTGGTAAACGTGAAGTGTAATAAAATAAAGAAGACGGAATGCCTAGACGCGCGAGTCAAGTGCGATGATCACAAATCATGAGAGCAAACGGGTCTACGAGTAGTAAACAGGGGCCGCGATTAATTAACAGCTGCCCACCGTCTACTTCTGGCTATTTTGCAGTGCCAGCCTTGAGAAAATTCCAGTAGAAATCTTTTTTGAGATGCAATCGGTGTGATCTATTAGAGACGAAGTGCTAATTGCAGGTTCCCAGTCGAGGTCGCGCCCTAAGATTAAGTCGTTGAATATCACATAACTTTAGTTCAGAACTGGTTTTCCATTTGTCCTCTGTTGTGACAGAATTTTATAGTTTTTACATAAGGTATTCCATATCTGCAAGGCTAATTTTATACTCTGGTTTTCAATTGTCAGACAGAAAATAGACGAGAAATTCTCACCGATACAAAATTAACAGATTTAGGAAGTCTATCAATTTTATTTCAAACATAATTGCATGTGTGCGTTTTTATTTTTTTAGAAAAATAAACTGAACGGGTAACTCAAAATATTTACAAATTAAAATACGTGTGAGAAGATGTGAGATGGAAATGAAAATGGAAAATTTCGCAAAATCAATCAATGTTTCCATGCATCAAAGCTCTGCATGCAGGTCAATGGCATTTTGCTTGAGTGCATTCAGTATTCAATATTATTTTCTCCCTAAAGGAAAATAAAGAAAATATATTATTTCATATTTTCAATCTATCAAATTCATGCAGTCGTGTGTAAAGCCATGCAGAATGTTATAAATGGCCGTTGATATTTGATCGAATTTTTGCCACTTTTTTGTGTTCCTAGCCGAAAACAATTTAAACTATTGACAATAAGCGCAGAAAAATATTCACAACAGTTTCTAGTTGACTACTCTATCGACTGGATTGCAGCCAAATTAAAAATATAAGGAATGAATATTTTATTTACATCCCGAAAGCAATGTATTGATCTGTATTTGAACCAAATTCGCATAAAGATAAAGTTCGAGCATAAAAATAAAAACTTTAAAAATAAGAAAACGTTGGAAATTTAATATTAAAACGTACGGTATAGGTAAAAGTTTAAGTTTGTTCCTTTAAAGTTAAATAATTTGCATTTGTGCGTTGAACTTCTTCGTTTTTTTTTACCTTTTTACTGCTATTTCTCTCTGTTTTTTTTTGCTTTAAGATAAGTTTTTACGCTTAACTTAAAACTTTTTGTGCTGAAGTTGCAGCTAATTATAATTGCCTTGACATTTGCCAAACGTGATTATTTCTAAATAATTTGTTAGTTGTCGCGCAAAATTATACAAATAAATGTTGGCAAATAAACGAATAATTTAGCATGTTAAACAGCCAGCCAAATGATTTATATCAGAAGGTGGCAGTTGAGTAATCTCATACTGACGCACCAGTTAGTAAGCCAGGGTAGTTTAAAATCTTATCAGTCTGCTATATGTCGATACCGATAATTGATAATTGGCTCAAGCAAGAGCGCAATGACAACAAGTTCTATGTTATCAATTTGGCTTGCTCGACATAATTCGCTTGAACTTTTTCGCACCTAAGACCTAAGGTTCTGATTTAAAAAACTGATGTGTAATCCTGAGTGGGTACAAGGTACACACCAGATGTCTGCTGATCGTTTGACAAAATTTATAGCGATGTCTTGGACGGAACTTCGTTTTGATGACGCTTTAATCACAATTTTCGATAATGCGGATGCAGAATCGAGAGCTTATCGGCGACTTCGAGTCTATTATTATTAATAGGACCCGAATGGTGAACCGGATTCGGGTCTTTGCTACAGCAGCATGAAATCTCTTGATAAGAAATGAGGCTCGGCGGGCCGGACTTCTCTTATCAGCTCGACTCAACTTGAGACACGTATGGTCATGGCAACTGAGCTGTTTTTATTTAGAGAGTGTGGAACCCGCCAATTGACCTTATTGATTGATGAATTCACTAGAGCCCAAGCCGGCACAATATTGTATTATACATTCTATGTTGCTTAATAAATATGAATATATGAATAATCTTGATACAATTTGTTTAGCCTTAACCTAGCAAAATATTGTTTCTTCTTTGTACATATTTACTTATCTTGGTTCCAAATTTTTAACACTGTGTAACAGTTTTTAAACTGGTTTTTTATAGCCATTGACTTAGATGCTCAAATTCAGTAAATATTATAATAAATGTTTAAGGCTGCATAGACTCATGTTACATATATATTTTCAGAGTTGTTTTATTTACTAGTCTTTAAATTGGAAAATATAGCTGTAGAATGATACCGATATCTTTTTAAATAAATACGATTTGACTTACTTCAGTGCAATGCGCATCTGATCGGCCACGGCTATATCGAATGACATCTTGCTGTGGTCTCACGCCGGCGGCCACAATCGAATCCCTTCCGGATATATTCGTATATATGCGGGACTATTAAATACACAATACACAATTGGCAAGCTGTTCGAACTCCCAATGAAAACAAACGCGGACGGCACACACGGAAAATCTATAAAATCGCAGGTGGGCAACGGTGCGATTGACGAGAGCTGAATTAGCTGCCGGCCCTTAAAACATTTGTTTGCACTTTTCCTGTACGGAACAACTTTAGAATTTGAGTTCCCTTCACGATATTCAATGTCACATCACTTGTTGCTGGCAGCGTAACTGCTCTGATTTCACAATTGCGGAGTAATTGAAAAAGGCACCGGACTGCGGGTAGCGAATTCCGGACTCCGGCCAGAGAATCTAAGGCTGGCGTTGCGCTTTACTCAGGGTCCGCTCGGCAACTGAGCATTTAAAGTAAGCGCCGGCTAAGTTTAGTGCCCGCCGACGCTCGACTCGCACACACACGCGCTGGCCGCTTGTCGATGATGATTTTTCCACTCGTTTGCCCATTCCGCACTGGCCACGGGGTCGTATGAGTGATATTCTAGCGTCTCTGTGTGCGCTGTGCACTCAAATGCCTTGGGCCGTTCGGTTTGCTCGAGTGGGTCCGCTTGCTGGTCGTTCTGGGCGCCGTTGTTTTGTTTGGGCGTTATCGTTTTTGTTGCTGCCGCATTGTTTATTGTTTATAGCGTTCGCCGGCACTTGGCTATCAGCCCCCCGCAGATGTTATAGGTGTTATTGCTGTTTATTGGCGGAGTTCGGGAATTCCTTGCAGGTTGATTTCTATTCTTGAGTGTATATATAAATCAATAAATGTATTTTATCAAATTGACAGTTTTATCTTCATGTTATATCCTTTGGGGTATTAATCACTATTTTTCAAAACATTGGAAAATTTATTTAAACTATTGATTTTGTATACTAAACGTTAATGTCGCTTTTCGATTCCTGCCTACTTTGGTCGCTAAATTGCACTTAAATTTTGAATTATAAATTAACTGTTTCAAATAAAATAAATAGGGCTTTAAAGTTTATTTAAGAAAGGGTCTTATTCATATTTACACTTTGAGTAAAAAAAGCTTATTGTTTTTATTTTTATAGGCTTGCTCATCATATTATAGGAACCACTTTTAATTGCACTTATACCTTTCCACAGTGAATAATAAACCAGTTTTCCGAATTGCTAATAACTCCGGTAATTTCATTAAGTGCTGTTGAGCTCAATTATACTGCCCTTAGACATGACCATGATAAATCTATATTACGCAATTAACAAAGTAACTGTGAATATCGTCATTGGCTTAAATTGTAGAGCAAAGGCATTACACGAAATCGATATAGGAACATTGCCGACCATCAGAATATACTCGCTGTAATTGAGTTATCTTCCCCTGAGAGGAAACACTAGTAACATACAGTTCGCGTAATTATAGAATATTATATCTACTTACTGCGCCATTTTCCCATTGAGCCATGCAAACTGACATGCTAGAAACAGGTTGATTTCTATATAATAATAATATGATGGCTTTTTTACTGTGCTGAGCAGAAACTTTTTTACATTTTTATATGTCAAGTTTTATCACAACTAAATTGGTCAATTAAAGTGAGCGAGAGTAATTCTCTACAGCTGACGCCGCTTTGAACTTTATTAGCTGATGGTTATTAAGATCATCTTGTTTTGACCAGAACTATGTTTTATAAATTCAAAATTCGTTGTGGTGTTTCCAAATTTAATATTTTATTGAGAGGTAGACATTGGAAGGCTTACCAATAAATTGTGCAATAAGTACATTGGGTGGTGCAATGCAATGCACTCAAGCCTATAAACAACAAGTTAGCCCTCAAGCACTTCTAATCGAGTGTCCAGACGCAATAAACTTCTGCTTTTGCTACGGTAAGAAACGGTATTAAGATTTATACACGATAATCATAGAGTAAATGGGTCTGTCACGATTTGTTTAAGACAACTTATGGAAATTATATTAGTTTGAATATTTAGGTTAATCATGTGTACATGGGTTTTGTATGCCATTAATTTCATCCTGCTCGCAAAATAAAACAAACTAAATTATAATAAAAAGGGCCCTAGTAATTTTTTATTTATTTATTTATTTTATTTTACTGCATTTAAAATAGCTTATAAAAATAAGACTTACTAAAGTTGCAATCCACTGTCTGGAGGCCTTAGTAATCATTTTTTTAAAATCAATTATTTTTTATTTTTACAAATGAATTGTATATACCAGTACCAATAAATTAAAAACACATAAGATAGATATTTTTCATTAGTGAAATTTTTTTCGTTAAAAACATTTTTTTGCACTTTACGATTTTAAATCTATAAATAACATACACTATTAGAGTAAACTACGCAGATACTTGATTCCGGATTTTCCTTGATTTTCCATTTCAATTACAATACTTACAATTTTGTTTTATACGTGCGATTAAAAACAGGTTTATTAATTACGTATTGACAAAATAGGAGGGTTTCTGTTATGACCCAATGGCATCAGTTATATCACTTAAAACAAGAACAAACTCTGCGTGGCAGGTTGCGATTAATGGCCTAAACTTTATTTAATTTTGAAGTACAAACAATGGGAACGGTCAGCTGACCTCACTCCGGTCGCTTCTCCGCGTTCTTCTTGGTGAACTGCTCAGCGGTCTTCATGAACTTCTTGTGCTCCTTCACGAACTCCTCGGCCAGGTCAGAGCGGAGCGGATGCTCCGGCTCGGGGTCGTGGACGATGGCGATGAGGGCCTGGAGGACCTGCGAGGTGCGCGTCGTCGGCTTCCAGTTGTCGGTGCTGATGATCGGCAGGCAGACCTCGCCCTTCTCGTCCACGTTCGGGTGGTAGATCTTCGTCTTGAAAAGGATCTTGGGCGGCATGAAGGGGTACTGTGGCGGGAAGTTGATTTCGATGCGGAAGGCGCCCTTGTTGTACGGCGGCTTCTCCGGAACCAGAAGACCCGTCCACATCAGCAGGGACTCGTCGCTGCTCTCGATGTTCCGCAGAGTGCTCATCTTGGCCTCAACCAAGTCGGAGAGCTCCCGGGTCAGTCGACGAGTGGCAGCCATTCTCGGTCGGAGTTCCTTTCCTTTGTTTTCCGTGCGCGTCGAAAAAAACCTTTTAATTTGTAAATGTTTTAAAATGTATTTTCCCTATAGCTGACAGCTAAGTCGAAATGTCGATCCTTATTCACACGAAGGAGAAGAATCAAAAGTTCGATAGACTAAATTTTCTCTGTTCGATAATGTGACTTTAAATGAATCTTAAATTTGTTGTATATTTTTAGGGTGTGGTTTCTGTCACCAAAAAAACTCAAGTTTGAAGTTTTAAAATGCTTTTACAATATATTTTTTAACAAAAGTTTTCGAATTAACTCTCAAATATTAAAATTGGTTAATTGATTTAATTTGGCATTATTGAAATCTTTTAAACTTTTACAACTAATATGTTTGTTTTTAAATATATTGGTGAAAAATAATATGCTAGTTTAAATTGCATCTTTTTTGGTTGTGCTTTTCCTATGAAGTTTTAATTGTTTCTTTTTTACCTAAAAACATTAAATTCAACCCTACAAATCTTTACCCAAAGCACTAAAACTAATCCTCTTGAACAAGCAATTAGTGGAATATATTTTATAAAGCAGTTTTTCCTATGTACAATTTCTATATAAGTATTTAATTAGCTGGAAATTCAAATTCCTCTACAACAAATCCTTGTTGTCATCATACAGACTCTCCCAGATTTTCAGCTTGGACCACTCGGGCAGGTCAATGACCTTCAGGTCATCACTGATGTTGAGACACTTGATGACCTCGTCGGACTTCCGAACTGGATCTATGGTCAGAGTGTCCATGCCGTTGATCTTCTCGCTATAAGGACTTCCCGTGGCTGCGAACTGAGTCCAGATCCCGACAGTTCGTTCGATGGTTCTGTACTCGCGACTTTCCTTGGGCAACCGGCGAGCCAGCAAACTTGGGAAGAGGTAAGTCAGATCGTCGGCGTGGCTGACTCCCTTGACTCCACGACCCATCCGCATAATGCGGTACGGGAAGATGATCTCTTCGGAGTCGAAATCGAATCGGTAGAAATACACCGGAGCTCCAGCGGCGTGATTATGGCGGGAATAAACCACCCTTAAAGCCGGAAACACGAAATAGTAGATCGAACAGAGCTGGAAATAAATATTTATGATGTGAAAAGCAAACTATTTTAATTCACTTACATCCATGTAGTTATCTGGAGTGCTTTCTGCTCCAGTGCGGTGTGCATCGCGAATCTTGACACTCCACGCATCCAGTTTTTCTTTGCTGGGCTGCGTGGCCAACAATTCCTTTGGAATGAACGGGGTGCCGGCGTCCACTTGTTGTACTACCTGTGGCAGCATTTTGATTTCTATTAAGAAAGAATATATATTGTACATTATACAATAATTGTTTTTAAAAACAAATTACCTGGCACCCAGAGAAGTCCCTCGTACGAAGTGTTTCCAATCATCATGGGAATGGAGTTGCTCCAAGCCGTCTTCATCATTTCCTTTGGCGCCTTTGGTATTACGCACTCGGGAGTGGAGAATGGCTCCAGAGATGGCCCAAAGGCAAACATAATCTTGTTCATGCGATCCTCCAGCGTCAGGACATGTTCCTCCACCCGAATGAGATCTTTGGCCTTCACGGTCTGCAGGAATTCCAGAACATCCTTGTCGTTATTCTCACCCTTGTAGCCAACCAGTTTGGCGATTCTATAGGGATTGTGGGTGATGTCGCCGTTGAAGGCCCAAGGACAAATGGAGCTGCCCGACTGAAGAATACCGCGGTGGAAAAGTCCTTGGGTCTGTTCGGTTATCATCATGTAGTGGGTGGAGGCACCTCCTGCACTTTCTCCGAAAACAGTAATGCAGTTGGGATCTCCACCGAAGCTGCCGCAGTTATTCTTGATCCACTTGAGGGCCAACACCTGATCCTTGAGGCCAGCATTGCCAGGAACATTCAGCTCTGGGGACTTCAGGCTCATGAATCCTGTATTCAAATGGTAACAATTAGCACAAATTCTTTTTAAATAAATATATAAAGCCTACCCAAAGCACCAAGACGATATTGTATGGTGACGAGGACCACATCTTCGTTCATGAAATAATCAGGACCATACCACTCCCGGTTGGCCTCTCCAATTATGAAGCCACCTCCATGGATCCAAACCAAAACGGGACGAGGCTTATCAGGTTTCACCTTAAATAAAGAAATAAAATAAAATTTAACCAACGATCCTCACTCAAATTTGTCTGCTAATTTTTACTTGTTAAAAAACAGAATATTTATTATATTTTGTATCTTATTCTCCACAGCTTTTGGCTGCCATATTCTTCACAAAAACATTGTGCTGAAGAATAAATATTTCGGCTAATAAAAGAATTATTATACTTTACTTTTTTGCTTGTCAACCCATTATCAGAAGTGGGAATCTTCTTTTAGATTAGACTCTAATTCTTATCTTATAAGATTATAAGGTGTTTTCGCAATTGCCTAATCTTAACCAAAGAAATTGAAAGTCATTTTCAACAAATAATTCATCATTAGTATAACAAATTTAAGCTTTTTTAAATTAATTGTTAGTCATCTACCCTTTGACCGACAGAAGGGAATTAATAAGCATGCGATCACTATTGATGTAATTTAAGAAAGGTGATGTGATCATCGGGGTAGGAACACATTTTAATATAGCTAACAAATAATAACACAGACATTCGAAAAACTTTCTTTACTTTTTTGTAATAATCAGAATCTTATTAAATTTAAGAGAGTTGAACACAATCTATGTTTATCCCGATGACTGTTGCTAGCTCTGATAGCTTTGACTTATTTTAGTTCTTACTCACATTGTTGGTGTAGACGTTCAGGTAGAGGCAGTCCTCGGAGCCCTCGACCTTATCGAAGACGAACTGCACCTGGACGGCCTTGTCCTTCGGCTGGCTGCAGTCCCTGATTCCCTCCCAGGGGGTGGGCCTCTGCGGGGCCCTGAACCTGAGCTCCCCAATGGGAGGCTGGGCGTAGGGGATACCCTCGAAGCTGAAGTAGGGCACATCGTAGAGCGAGAGCCGCTTGACTCCCCGCACTTTTCCGTACTCGGTCTCGGCGACCACGGTATCGTTGGTCGACTGGCGGTACTGCTGGACCTTATGCTCGATGGTTCTGCAATCGCACGACGGAACGCACAATTAGCATAACAATATTGGGATCGACTAGCACGCGGATAATTTGATATTTTTGTCACAAAGTCAATTATTTTAATTCATTCTCAAAGCCACATGCCAGTGGGCAGACTGCATGCATTGCATTGCATTAAATTTAAATTGTTTTGCTGCTGCTCATCACATCCCAACCTATCATACAGCCCATCCCAACTCATCGCAATCCATTTCTGAGAACACTTTAAATAATGTTCTCTCAAATAAAGATGTTCAAAAATCAAATTTACTAAAAATGTTTCCCTTAATCTTAACCACTTTGTCTAACTTAATAGGGAATGAAATAAGATTGATGGGTTCAGATGTAAGCTGCACCCTGAAAGTAAATTTAAATATATATAAGTGATCTCAGCCAGCTGAAATGCTTCAGGAAAGGTATAACACGAATGGGGTTCACACTTCGAACCTTTTAAGAGTCCATTTATAATATGAGACAAAGAGGTAGTTTCGGGAAATCAGAGTAAAAAACTCTATAAGTCAGTTTACCAATGTATATATAAGGTACCACTATACAATTAGCATATATTTTTTTTCAAGTGCAGCTTTAGTTGGAAATTCAGCCTGGACACCAGGTTTAGGTGGCTCAGTCGACTGTGTGGTCCACCTGCTAACCAGGCACGTCTGTCAGTGATAAATTAACACAGTCCGTTGCTGCCAGGGTTTCTGATGACCAGTGGAGCAGCACTCGAAATTTAAAGCACAGGGCTGCCCCTAAATCATTTAAGGCTCAGATAGCCAGATAGCCCCTTGCCGTTAATGAACATCATAATGTGGTCATAATCTTGTGAACACACAATAGGTATGGGCAATTATTCTGTCTTATCAGCATCTGTCAGTTTGTTATCACAGGCTAAGCTTTAATGTGGTCTTTATTATTTTATTTCACATTAAAAATAGATGTTTTTAATCAGCAAAGTCCCAAGCAATGTCCATCTTCAGGTTTGTTGACGTTTAACAGCACAGTTTTATTTCAAATAAATAGCTGGGCATCAATTTATTTGTTTGTGTATGCTATACAAAATATTAACACGGAAGATAATGAGCAAAATTACTGATAATTATTCTGAGCGCTATACAAACTTTTAATTACATTACATTAAGGCAGCAAAATAAAATCACACCTATTTAGCTGTCAACGTGATAACATTTTAATTTCCCAATTATACCCAATACATTTGAAGTCAAATGCCGTAATACGAGTAGAAACTGAATCTTTTTTTTAACGATTGGCTCATTATCAAGGTTAAGGCGTGATAAGAACCGGAGGGTTGTATAAATTACTTAAAAGTTAAATAATAATCACTGAAACGAGCCGATGTCAATATTTAATTAATGTTATCATCTATTGACAAGCTACTCGTATTTATAAATTGAGGGTGCAGCACTCATTATAGATTTTATTGCTGTTCACTTCTGAGGGAAATGTGCATTCAGTTTCTGTTTACATAAATCTCCATGTTCAACAACGTTCAAATCAATTTGCTTACAACTACCGAACTTCTGTATCTAATAAATTATAAGCCTCCAAATTAAGGGTGCGTGAGGCAATAAATAAACGATATCGGTAACGTTGTACTGATTAAGCCATAAATACAAATTTATGAATTAAATCCATTAATGGTTACAAGTGACAGTTTTATTACCTCAACAAAAACTTTTTCAAATAAGAGAAGAATATGTGAAAAGTTTTGCAGGCAGCGTTTTTGATGATCTTAAATAATTTGCGACATTAACATAATGTTTTGGTCATAAAACGCGTAATTCAAAAAAATTTAATGGAACAAATAATGAACATAAAATTCAGTTGGTGATTTCGCAATATTGATAAATAGAAATTTATTTGCCGATATTCATCACGATTGCGTAATTCGATCAATCTAATCTCTCGCCTGCAAAACTGACTCAATTAAAAAGTAAAATTTAATAATAACTGTCATCCACAGAATTACTCATGCCGAACAGTGAGGTACATAAATTACTAATAAAAAAAGGCAAAAAAGAGCTGAACAAACAAAAAGGCCGAAACACGAACCGCTACACTTGACAAAGCTTGCCACAACAAAAGCACCCGCCACAACAATAATCGAAAGTACAAAAGGAATATATCCAGCATTAATAAGCAATAATTAAATAAAAATTCGCGGCATTAAGGTCGACGTCGAAACTTACTTGAGGCGCCAGCGCAGGCGCTCCACAAAGCCGAGGTTCTTGTTCATATCGAATAGACTGGTTAGCCAGACTCAAACCGATCGATTTACTATATACTGATATGCCCACGAGCTGCGTACTGTATCGCGCCAGTGCCGAACCGAAACTGAAATTAAAAACACACTTTTTCACATCGAATTCCAGCTGCGGAGCGTCCGGCGCAAACAAGCCAACAAATAGGCGAAAAAAAGTGAAAAATTATAGAAAAAAAATATACTACAATAACACAAATATCAGAATACAAATTACTCAAAAAGAAGAGCGTAGAGAGCAGCGTTAGGGAGAGAATAAAATATACAAAAAGAATACGAATTTGTATTTCAAGTGCGGAGTCGAGATAAACAGCCACAGTAACTGATATAGCAAAACCGATCATCGAGCGTGGGTCGTCGGGAGAAAACTTGGCGAATGCATAATTAAACAACACTGTCAAAAATTTAATTCTACAGTCTTATGAAAACAAATAATATATAATCATGTAACCAAAATCCAGGGTTAGTATCTTAGAGATACCAAAGATGAATTTAAACAAACTATCTCACTCTTGTATCTTTCTGCTCCACAATCATCAAGGTTCCAAGCACCAAATCAAGGGGAAAAAGGGGGGCAGCCGCCCACTGAGTGGGTCAACAACATTTTGATCGTGCCGGTAAAACTACTAGTATAAACAAACAAATTGATGCGATTTGTTTTTGTTTACATGGTAGACGAGCTTTCAACTGGAGTGGGGCGTTGCCGCAAAGCTTTCGACTAGCTTTAATAAACAAAAGCTGAACAGTGGGCACAATACTCGTTTTGATAGCGAAATTTTATATTGTTTTTTAGTTTGCTCCATTTGAAGTTATCCGAAATAGAAAAGGTTTTCGACGTCAAAACCAAAACAAATAAATAAAACCATATTACTTAAACTGATCATTTCCCCTTTCATTAGTAAGTATGGGGTCTTGCTTGAATCAAAAAGGATTCTTATATTTTACTACCAAAATATACAATAAAAGAACCAAAATTAATAAACTTATAAGAAATACCATTTACTATATACTATAAATATTGTAGTAAAATAAACTTTTGAATCTTCCAAAATTTATTAACTACTTCGAGTTAGTATATAGCCGATTCCAAACCTCCAGACCGTCCTTTTCGATTTGCGTTACGCACTCCACCTCCTGTCCAATATTCAATACCTTAAAAGGGGTCTTTGGAGAGACGGGTAGCCACTGATCCGGACCCGTCTCCGGACAATTGGGATCGCCGGTTCTGGCAAAGGTCGTCAGTATGCCTACCATGCGCTGAATAGTCAGATACTCCGGGGAATCCAAAGGCTGCTTCTCCTGCGCCTGTTTGTGGAAAATGTAGCCCAAGTCGTCTGCATGACAGACGCCGCGTTTGATGTCATCGCCGCATAGCTGGTTCCGCATCAGGTTTGACTTGGGCGAATCGAAGTCGAACCGGTATTGATAGGTGGGCGCCTGGGCGTGGGATAATCGGGAGAGCACCACCTTATGGATTCCGTGCCAGAATAGCTTGTAGCTGAAGAGCTGAAGGTTGAAAAAATATTGTGAAATTAATTGGTCATCATATATGGTATACAACATACAAGAAAGCAAAACAGTTTGGTTTGTTTAAAAAAGTATAAATCTTTCATTCTAGAAGACAACACAGTTAGCCCTACTTCTATTAGTATAGTAAAGCAGACACCACCGATTCATTTAAGTATATAATTTAAAAATTGGCCTAACCATCAGTCAGTCTGGCTATTCCTACGCAAACTAGTCTGTGGGTTTTCAAAATATTTCTCTGAAACATTATCAAAAGGCTTATAGATATTGCAGTTATACGAGTATGCGATAGTTTAAGTTAAAAAAAAATCAAAAAAAATTTAAAAAGCATTTACTAATAATTGTTTTAAAAAATCGAACAACCAACAAAACATATTGTTACCATATATCGAATAGATTTTTATTAAAACTTCTAAGGTATGTAACCCTCAGTCTCAGCTTGCTAAAGTTGTTTTACTATTGTCTCTTGCACTATATTAAAATTATCTTAAACTAAATTTATCTGAAAACCTCATTTAAAATTATGTGTAAATAAGAATTTAGGTCTTACATTTTCTTTGGAATAACTCACGTCTAGAATCTGTGTGATATTGCTCTTGGTGATGCCGCGTGGTCCATAGTGATGCTTCACCAGGGATTCGGCGGCGATGTCCCGCTCCTCGGCAGCCATCGAGTGGTACAGATCGTGGGGCAGGACCATCGCTGGTTCCTGCTTGAGCAGCTCCAGCATGTAACCGTTGTCGACCTGGCAGAAGGGGTAGAACACCAGACCCTCGAAGGAAGTGCCGCCCAAGAGAAGGGGCACCTTTCCGGACCACGCCTGCTTCATCAACTGCTGAAAGGGGGCTTGAATGAGGCCTCCGACCACGGGAACAAAGGGGTTGAGGAACCCGAAGCAACGATCTCGAGCTGAGATGAAATCGTGACCTAGCAGTTTTTCCGCCGTCACGTTGCGCAGGAACTCCAGGATTAAAGGCTCTTCCGCGGGTCCTTGATATCCTGCAGCAAAAGCGAGGCGGCAGAACAAGCAATTCCTTTCGGGGGAATCCACCCAGGGACTTAGCATTGACCCAGACATCATGATCGCCTTGTGGAAGAGATCCTTGGCCTGCGGCAGGCACATCATGAAGTGAACCGAAGCAGCACCAGCACTCTCGCCAAAAATCGTTATGTTCTGCGGATCTCCGTTGAAGTTCCGGATGTGCTGCGAAACCCACTGAAGAGCCAATAATTGATCTTCGAGTCCAGCATTACCCGGTACTTTTGACTCATCACTCGGCATGCTAAGGAATCCAAGTGAGCAGAGGCGATAGTTGAACAGCACATACACCACATCCTTGGTCATCAAGTAATCCGGGCCGTACTTCGATCTCGTAGCTCCACCCGTGCGGAATCCCCCGCCGTAGATATAAACCATAACTGGCAAGGGTGGCTTCGATTCGTCAAACTAGGGAAGTCATTTAATACAGTTGTAAAGATGTAATAGACGTAAAGATCTAAAAAAATAAGAAACAGTTATGTAGAACGGGAAAATATATTTCAAAACTATCGATCGAGTTCTATTACTTTTTTATAAATATTCTTATAATAAAAATGTAAGAATTACTATTTAAAAACATGAACTAATTTTGATTGACAATTTTTAAACAAGAACGCTTCTTCCAGAAGCGTTAAAACTTAAAACTTTTTTTGTGAGCCACAACTGTGTTAACTATCTTTATTATTCCATTCTATTTATTTAAATAATGATACCAACAATAAACGTTTTTGATAAGCCTAAGACCCCCTATCCAGTTGACTTTGTTTTGAGTTTGATACTACATTGAAGCTGCTTATCTCGCTGAGGTTTGGTGTCTATTTTCCCGCAGTCAACGTATTGCTCTACTCGCGATCAGAGATGTCGCTCAACTAGTAAGAGAAGTTTTCTGGGCAAAAACCCATACGTATACGAAATAATATATTTTTTGTAGTAGTGAAATTTCCCCGGTGGTGCAGACTACACATGGAAAGGTTCAGGGAACACTCCTAAAGGGTCTTTATGATGAACAGTTCTACGCATTCGATGGCATTCCATATGCAGCTTCTCCGCTTGGAAGTTTGCGCTTCAAGGAACCGCAGGATCTGAAGCCTTGGAATGGAACTCGGGATTGTTCCAAACCCCTCAACAAGTGTCTACAACTGGCCTCCCTAACGAACAAGGTTGAGGGTTCTGAGGACTGCTTGTTCCTTAATATGTCTGTAAAAAAGGTGAGTTTGAATCTTTGACAAAGCGAAATCTACGTTCCTGTACATTCTTCAAAACAAAACATCGTAAAATAGCTGCACAGCAAGCAGCCCTTGCCCATGATGGTCTTTATCCATGGAGGTCTGTTTAATCGCGGTGATCCCTCGAGAAGAGCCTGGGCTCCTGATTATCTGATGCACGAGGATGTCATCCACGTGAGCATTGGCCACCGTTTGGGTGCTTTGGGTGAGTGCCTTAATTGAAAAGAAAGCGACTCTGACTATAACAGGAATTCCGAATTTGTAAACAATAATAATGTTTTGAGTTATTATTAAAAGCGTAAGCATGTAGGCCACATGTTTGAACATTGGGCAGAGTGTTTCTTGAAGATGTGAAAATTAATATGCTTAAGGTTTTTAAGTTTTGTAATACGTTATTTCTAGGATTCCTGAGCTTTGCTGATCCGTCTTTAGAAATTCCTGGAAATGCTGGTCTGAAGGACATAATCTTGGCCCTCAAATGGATCAAGGCGAATGCAGCCAACTTCAATGGAGACCCGAACAGAATAACTATCTTTGGTCACAGTTCCGGGAGCATGTTGGTTCACTCGCTGTTGGCCAGTCCTCAAACAGAAGGGCTTTTCCACAAGGCCATCCTCATGGCAGGATTTTCGATGGAGATAAATCGCCTGCCTCACTTAGAATTCCGTCTGGCCAAACAGTTGGGTTACGAGGGTGAAAATGTGGATCTTCAGGTTTTTGAGTTCCTATCGAAGGCAGATCCAAACTTGCTCGTCGCTGCGGATGTTCTCACCCCTGAAGAGAAGGGTCAAGGTCATAGCCTGTCGTTCAGACCCAGTATAGAGAGCTATGTAACTCCGAATGCTGTTCTCCTGGCAGAACCGAAGCAACTGCAGCGCAACACTTGGAGCAATCGCATTCCCATCATTGTAGGTGCGAACAGTGAAGAGGGATTAGGTAGCATTACCGATCTTAAAACCAATCCCAGGGTAATGCAGGAGTTTCGGGATTATCCGGAGCGTGTGCTGCCCAATTTCCTTAAGCACTGTTGCGATTCGGAACAAAAGCGTGAGTTGGGTTTGCATCTTCTGAAATACTTTTGTGGAGCTCATGGGGAAGAACTAAGCTTGGAGCACTTTAATGCACTAGCAGAAGTCTTCACCCACAATACTTTCCTTGAGCTAGACCGATTTATCCAAGCCAGATTGGCTTATGCCCAGGCACCGACATATTTTTACCGGTTCAACTTTGACTCGCCCGACTTCAACTTCTACAGGATTCGATATTTTGGATTGGAGCAGCGTGGAGTAACACATGTGGATGAACTTGGCTATATTTATGTTCTCCCTGCTACGTTTAAACTGGACAAGTCACGACCGGAGTTCACTACGATTTTGCGGTTTGTGTCAATGTTTGTACACTTTGCCGCCACATCGGATCCAAATTCTCCGCTTACTAAGCCCCTTGTGAATTGGAAGCCTGTCAATCAATCCGAAACTCGCATGGTTCTCAACATTAGCGAAGAACTAAAGTTTATTCCACTGCCAGAGATGGCTAAGCTTAAATTCTACGATCGGTTGTTTAAACTGGCTGGTGTGACAATCTTTTAGTCATCTTCACTGACACCATTAGCCTTATTTAGACAGAAATAAATCACAACTCATGGTATAAAAAAATAAATAGAATAAAAATGTTGAATGCTTTTTATCAGATCAAAGTTAAAGACGCTATGGTAGTTTAATAACACCGTGCACTAAAAATCCCTTATAAATATTCAAAAAGCGTGAACATTACTGACAAAATTGTAAAATAAAAGTTTTCTGCATGTAATTTTTTTAAACCTTCTTCTGTAAGTATCTGCTGATATCTACCCATTTGCACCCATGTTTTTTTTTTACGTAACTAGATTACTTACGTGTTTGGTGTACACGTTCAGGTACAGGCAATCCTCGCTGCCGATGACTCTTCCCGTCTGCCTGTCCACCTGGAGTGGAATCGGCTTCTCTTGCCGGGCATCCAGCTCTGATTTCCAGGGATCCGCTGGACAAGAGGCCACGAATCGGAGTTTCCCCAGCGGAGGTTTGGCGAAGGGAATCCCCTCGAAACTGTAGAACGCGTCACCATAGATCCCGCACTGCTGACGACCTTTGACCTTTCCCACCGACAGCTCAACTACCTTGGAGTCAGTTTCACCTCCTCGTGCGGAGGTAGAACGCCTTATGCTGTTCAGAAGTCGAAGAGCTTTGATTCCACATCTACAACTTGGCTGGTGGAGTTTCCACATGTCATACTCCAATTCAGAGTTTTGAGCTAGGATGAACGGCAGACTCGATCCGGGCTTTAAGGAGTGCCCGGGTCCCCCTAAATTATCGAAAGTAGTGGGGCAAATGAAACATAGTGGATTGCCAACTCAGTGGAACAACAATATATAATTCCACAACACAAATTTTGAACATCAACACCATATTAATTTTAAACTGATTTCAACTTAGTGGGCTTCGATGGGCAGATCGTCCTGCTCGCAGTCGCGGCAACGACATCCTTTGCGGTGCTCCTCCTCCAGGAGATCAAGGAGCTGCTCATTATTGCAGACCTCATATAGCACAGTTCCCTCCTTGGACTCCCGAGCTTTATTTGGCATCTCAGTGGGATATTCCTTTTCGGTACTCATCTTGTTTTCGTCCTGAGATTCGGGTACTTTCTCCATCTGCTGCTTGCACTTATAGAATTTCCCAATCTGGGCATCAACTATCGGCTTGTACATTTCATATAGCTTTGGTAGAGTAAACATTAACACAAACGCTGGAAAAAACATTTTCGAACAGGAATAGTGCATTAGATGGAAGTTTGTGAAAAACGTTTGCTTATTTAACCAGAAAATATCTTAAGCTTTAACTATCTCAAAATTCGATTACAATTCTTAATTTAATTAATTTTTGCCGAATTGTTCTAATAAAATTTTGGTAAAAGATTTTCAAGGGGTCTGGTTCAGCTATGGGATTCTTTTCGGAAACTATATGATATTATGCATAAAATAAGAATTTATTCGGTGTATTATCAAAGAATTGTTGAGAACAGATAAAATAAAAATATAGCAGTTTATTCATACTCAACACTTACCAAAAAGCAGCAACGTCAATCCGTTGAAACAATCGCCCAGTAAATTGATTCCACAAAGCATAGCTAAAAACTTTAAGGTATCTTCCCACTTCTCCACAAGACACAGTCTCAGTAAACGGTTTAAAATCCAGTTAAGATGAATAACTGCCATTCCTGCCAGTCGCATAGCCTCCTCCCGAGGAATATCGATATTTACCTGAGGATACAGACGTGAGATATGATCCTTGCTGACATCCCTCTTCCAGGACCACAAGAACTGCATAATAAGGCGGTGACCAATGGCCGCCAAAACTACAGTGATCCCTGCCATGCTGACGACACTGATCACCGAGTGGGCAATAACATCGAGCAAGAGGATCAAAACACTCGTAAATACAATTAAAGTCGATCGCCAGTTGCGCCACAATAAAAGGTCCTTTAGGTCCTTGAACAACTGGCTGGATTCTTCATCGTTCTTTGAGTTCTCAGAATTCATATTTTCAAAATTCGGATCTTCACGTACGGATTCAGGTTCTTTGCTGAGAGTGAATTATGTTTTAAATTGTGAGTTATGTTTCAAAGGCAAATCGGATAAACGTAACTTAAAAAATGTTTAAGCTCGAAATTCGAGTTGGTTAGGATAAATGTAAGTGTAAGAACCAATAATATTTTCGCTTTCTTCTACAAATACAATACATTTATTTTTCCATTATTTTAGAAAATACTTTAAGGAATTACACATGAAGGCAGGGATATTTTCTTTACATTTATGTAGTTCCTACTCGGTTTTTAATTTGTCTAACTTACGAATCTTTAGAACGTTGTACAAAGGTAAGGACCGTCCATAATATAATGCAGGATTCTAAAAACATTTTTACGCTTTGACAATTTATAAATAGCAAATGCTTAAATGGCAAGTCCTTCTAAGGCTGCTTTATAACAGATTTACCCTCACTTTTAAATTTTTAGAATAAATATAAAAAATCTACATTTTTAGGAACGAATCACAACTGAATCGATAAGCAGACACAGTAGTAGTCGCAAACATGTTGTAAACTGAAACTTAAAAGTGCTCAAAACAGTGGGATGTAAAAATATAGTTTTCTTCTTCTTTAAATGATTTATAGAGCATTTGATTTCCATTCCATACAAGGGTCTATATCGTGTCGCAATTAACTGCAGATTCCACGTCGGTCCATAGTGTACACACAATGAAATTACCAATAATAATAATGTTTAATTTTGGTTTTTAAGAACACCTTTACACTTGTTTATTAATATATAAATGAATAGCCTTTGTAGTCTAAAGACCAAACGGCTATGCAATTTCTCCACACATATAATACACACTGGTCTATAACAAAAATTCTTTATTGGAGTCACGGACTTTTAAAGAATATCAATACATGCCAAATACCGATATGGGAAAAGTATCACCATCACCTTTTGGGAACATTAGCAAACTTAAATCAATTGCTCTGTCTTGTAGATGCTATCCCAAATTTTGAGTTTTTCGTACTCGGGCAAATCTACAATCGTGACATCGTTACTAATATTTAGAACTGGTTTGGGATTTTCCTTCCTTGATGGTTTCCAGTCCACATGGCCAATTTCCGGGCAATTGGGATTGGATGTTGCTGCGAATGCCGTCCAGATGCCAACCATCCTCTCGATGGTCCGATATTCCGCAGATGACTTTTCCAGTTTCCAAGCTTCAGCGCTCCGGAACAAGTAGCACAAGTCATCGGCGTGGGCCACGCCGGTCTTTATGTGGCCCCTACAGAATTTGGCCCTATAGAAGTTGAAGTTCGGAGAGTCAAAGTCGAAGCGGTAGAAGTAGGTCGGTGCCTTCGCGTAGGCAAGCCTTGCGTTCAAAGTTCGATGGAAGCAGTGCCAGAAAGACTTGTAGGAATAAAACTGGAGAGGAAAAGGTATAGATTCAATTAATAAATTTATAATTATTACTAATTAATTGTTATGGTTAATTGAGAGGTGTAGAATGAAGTCAAGGGCTTAATTATATTTGGAAAAGGATCTCCTTCATGTATTTACTTACATCTAGCATATTCATTAAGCGCTTCGAACTGGGTGGCGAATCTCCGAAGTAGGCTTCGATCAGACGCTGGCTGTACTCCGCATTTTCCTCCTCGGTGCTGATGTCCCGCACTTCCCGGGGCAGAATTCTTGAGGGATCCTGACTTAGGGTGTCCAAGGCCTTAAGATTGGCAGCTACTGCTGGGAACATAAAGAGACCTTCGAACGAAGTGCCCCCCAACATGATGGGCAAGTCATTGGACCACGCATCACGGGCCATTTCCACGGGAGACTTGGGCACTACACAGTCCTCACCCACATAGGGCTCCACTGTAGGTCCAAAGGCAAACATCAGACCATTCCGTCGGTGCTCGGGAGTTATCAAGTCGTGGCTCACTAAATCTCTAGCGGGAACTCCTTGAAGGTGATGCAGCACCTTGGCGTCATTGTTCTCGCCCGTAAAACCATTCTGCTGGGCTAGACGGAAAGCAAAGTCCTCACATAAATCATTCGGGAAGTCTTTGTGCGCAGTTCCAGACATGAGAATAGCCTTGTGGAACAGTCCTTTGGTCTGATCTGTGCACATCATAAAGTGGGTGGACCGACTGCCGGCACTCTCTCCGAAAACCGTAATATTGTTAGCATCCCCGTTGAAATTGGAAATGTACTTCTTGACCCACTTAAGTGCCAGAACCTGATCCTTGAGGCCTGCATTTCCGGGAACATTCAGGCTGGGATCCTTGAGCGAAAGAAATCCTGGAAGTAAACAGCAACAAGGAATAATTAAATAAGTAGTTTCTGAAGCTAAACTTAATAGCCACCAAATACTAAGTATGAAATCACTACATGTTCTTAGAATTTATTTAAATTTGAAGATTTTGTAATAAAATTGAAACCTTATTTTTGCACTTATTTGCAAAAAGAAAATGTTGTTAGAACATCTTTAGTCATTAAATGTTTTCCGAGTCTACCCTTCTTGGCTTTTTTTAATCATTTAAAATACAAAGCGACAAGAAAAGGGGCTATAAGTCAACAAATTTTGTCAAGCCGAGATAAAATTCTCGACTATTAAATGATATTTAATCATTTAACAGTGAACTCAATCATGTGAGACCCCAGCGGCCCGCAGATTAGATTAGGAAATCAAATTCCTGACGACTCACCTAAACAGTCCACTCGGTAGTTCAGCGTCACCAAAATCACTTCTTTGGACATGAAATAGTCTGGCCCGTAGACTTCTCGGGTGGCCTCGCCAACGGTGAAGGCCCCGCCATAAATGTAGACCAATACGGGCAAGGGTTTGTCACTTTTTAGCTGCAAAAAAAAACAATCAGTTATTAGAAAAGAAAACACAAGCAATCAATACTTTTGTCAAATGTAAAGAAATGGTCGAAATTCATCCACAATTGTAAAAAATACGTTCTGTATTCGTTCATTTAAAAATGAAGGCTAATTATACCCGCTACTCGGATAGTAAAAGGGTATACTGCACCACTCTTTACGTTTAAACTTCGAAATTCGGCAAACTATAATAACTAAAATATTGAAATTGAACGTGTAGATTTAAATAACGAAAGTTTGGCGCACCTACGTCTAGATCTTTAAAAAGTTGTGGCGTCTATTTCAAATGCTTTATTTGAGAAACAAGTATCTGATAATCGAGGCAATCGACAAAAGCATTTTCTCTTGTTTTCATTTAAGCTGAAAAGCCGTATGATATAACTACTAACCTGTTTGGAGTACACATTAAGATAAAGACAGTCTTCGGAGCCCTCTGTGACTCGAGAAAATATATCCCGCTGGATTGGTTTCTCCGCAAAGTGACTGCAGTCCAATACTCCGCTCCATGGATCTGCAGGCACTGGGGCCTTGAATCTTAATTCTCCCACTGGTGGCTTTGCGAAGGGAATCTTCTCAAAGCTAAAATAGCTGTCTTCGTAGAGACTCAGTCGCTTAACGCCCTTAATTTTACCCAGGGGCAAGGAAAGCTCGCAAGTCTCCAGACTGAAATAAACAAGTACAATTAAAATATCTCGGGATTCATAATTAATTTACCTCACATCTCAGACATCGTTTTAGTGGTCCGTTCACAGCCCGTGTCTTCTGCGGAATGAATTAGAATAGTGAACTTGCTAAGCCAAAGCAATGCAAAAAGTTCAAGCACCTACAGCAGTGTCTGAAAAAACATGTATTGTGACTGAGCTTTTTCCGCCTATCTGGTAAAATGCACTTATTTGAAAGTCACCTATCTATAAATCAACAAGATATATGTATGTTTTTTTTTTTTTTTTTTTTTTTTATTCCTTTATAACTCCTCCTGGGAGCATAGGGCCTCGACTAGATTCCTCCATCTTACTCTATTTCGGGCTGTCTGTTTCGCTGTGGCCCATGTGATGTTGTATTGGGACAACTCTTGAAGGGCGGTTCGTCTCCATGTTGCTTTAGGCCTGCCTACACGCCTGCTTCCCTGTGGGTTCCACTCTAGCGCCATTCTAACTATGCTATCCTGGTCCTTTCGCAGTGCGTGGCCTATCCATCTCCATTTTTTCTTCTTGATTTGGAGTCTTATTGCTGTTTCACCCGTCATATTCCAGAGGTCTATGTTGGAGATTCTGTTTGGCCAGAAAATCCCGCATATTATTCTGAGACATTTGTTGGTGAAAGCCTGCAATTGTTGGATAATTGTCTTTGTTGTGAGCCACGTCTCGCTTCCGTATAGTAGGACGGATTTTACGCATGAGTTGAAGATCCGTATCTTTGTTTTTCTTCTTATTTGGCGGCTTCTCCATATGCGGTAGAGTCTCCCGAAGGCAGACCTGGCTTTGGCTAGCCTGCTCGTCACATCTTCTGTCACGCCACCGTTGCTGGAAATTACGGTGCCAAGGTATGGGAAACTCTCGACGTATTCTATTGGGTTTCCATCTATGATGATATTTCCTTGGCTGGCGTTATTGAGGCGCATCGCTTTTGTCTTCGCCGTGTTAATTTGTAGACCCACACGGCTGGCTAGGTTCACGAGGTCATCAACTTTGGATTGAGTATCGCTTAGTTTGTGTGTTATTAGGGCGATGACTTTGTGCGGTACTCCTTTCCTAGCAAGCGCTCCCCATATTGCTGCTCTATTTATCGAATCGAACGCCTTCTTGAAGTCAATGATATATGATGTATTTGCCCGAAAACACAAATGTTCAATAAGAATAACAAATGGGTTTATGCTTGTCAGCATGAATGTTATTATTCCCAACATATAAAATTGACCTTAGTCTTACAGAAACAAGCATCTGTAATTTTTATCTGTATCTGTATTTTCAATCTGCATCTGTATTTAATATATGTAATTTATGATCTTAAAAAAATAACTGCTATAAATGAGTAATTGATTTTGATAAAAAAAAATATGAATTCAATATATTAAACTTCGTTTCCTTCTCTTCATCTCTAATACATTTTGAATTATTATGACATCTAGGCAAAACCTTTTAAAATAAAGGCACGCCAGCCATTTCTATCACTTTAGAAACGCACGTTCGCTCAGACGCATAGTCTCCTCCCGGAATATCGATGTTCATATAAAGATAAAATGGCCTTGTCCAGTTAAAAAGTTTCCTTCTATACGACACCAGGGATTTTGCCCTCCACGCTCACATCAACCGCAGTACTTTATTGGGTTCATTGTGCAAATTGTTCATACTTAACTTTGAAAAACTACTAGTTGTGGTTAAAATATTTTATTTTATTAGTTTTTAGGAACATCTTGTAATATTTATGACTTTTCTTAACTAGTAGCCTTTGTATTTTTGGGTCAACATTTACATTTTGCAGTGAAGTTATCTATGTTTAAAATTTTACAAAATGACTTCTAACTGGATAAATAAATATTGATGCCGTTTTTCCCGCTTTTGCCAAAAAGCTAGAGCACTTAGATCAATTGTTCTGGTTTGTAGATGCTATCCCAAATTTGAAGTTTTTCGTACTCGGGTAAATCCACAATCTTGACATCGTTACTAATATTAAGTACTGGTTTGGGATCTTCCTTCGTTGATGATTTCCAGTTTAAATGTCCGATTTCCGGGCAGTTGGGATTGGAGGTAGCTGCGAATGCCGTCCAGATGCCAACCATTCTCTCGATAGTCCGATATTCCGCAGATGACTTTTCCAATTTCCAGGATTGCGCATTCCGGAACAAGTAGCTAAGGTCATCGGCATGGGCCACCCCAGTCTTTATATTATCCCCACAGAATTTGGTCCGATAGAAGTTGAAGTTCGGAGAGTCAAAGTCGAAGCGGTAGAAGTAGGTCGGTGCCTTCGCGTAGGCAAGTCTTGCGTTCAAAGTGCGATTGAAGCCGTGCCAGAAAACCTTGTATGAATAAAACTGGGAAAGGAGAACCTCTAATTAGATAATGTTATATTTAGCCGTAGGTCATATAACCTTGCAGTTAGAACTGAAGCCTATAAAACGCCTAGATTCATTAAAAAGTCTTGTTAAAAGAATAATTTTACTGTTATTCGGACCCTGAAGAACAGCAATAAGATTACTCTGCAATTTTTCATTAGTCTCCTATTTTTTTATGGCATCTATCTGATATATCAAGATAAAATAAAACGTAGTTATAATCTTGTTTCCATTAATTTTATAAGGATGTATCGTTCTTTCCTATAGCTGTATATCATATATATCATATATAAAACCATATGCCATAAATCATGCTTGTACGATAAAAAACAAAATATAAAAAAAAATTCCGTTATTTTCTCTATCTTTCAATGATATTGTCGTCCGATCCGGGCAATAACTAATCAACTTTTGCAAAACTATATTAAAAATTTGGGTACAAAGTGTGTAGGCAAAGTATAAAAGCACTCCTTTTCGGATGAAGAAATGATTTTCAGTTAATTTGCTGACCTTAATAAATAAATCTTATAAAATTTAATTTAAAAAAAAATATAAAAAAGGTCTAAGCTGTTATCAAGCAAGAATAATTTAAGGATTTCATTTCAGTTGGACAGGGACTTCTAAAATATACTCACATCAAGAATATTCATGAAGCGCTCCGAACTGGGTGGCGAATCTCCGAAGTAGGCTTTGAGAAGACGCTGGCTGTACTCCGCATTTTCCTCCTTGGTGCTAATGTCCCTTACATCACGGGGCAAAAGCCTTGAGGGATCCTGACTTAGGGTGTCCAATGCCTTCAGATTGGCAGACACAGCCGGGTACATGAAGAGACCCTCGAACGAAGTGCCACCCAGCATCATGGGCAAATTATTAGACCACGCATCGCGGGCCATTTCCACCGGAGACTTCGGCACCACACAATCCTCACCCACGTACGATTCCACGGTGGGTCCGAAGGCAAAGAGCAACCCGTTCCTTCGGTGCTCGGGAGTTATCAAGTCGTGGGCCACTAGATCTCTTGCGGGTACTCCTCGAAGGTGCTCCAGCACCTTGGCGTCATTGTTCTCGCCAGTGAAGCCAAGCTGCTGAGCCAGACGGAAAGCAAAGTCTTCGGCCGGGTTATTGGACCAGTAATTATGCAGTGTTCCTGACATGGGAATAGCCTTGTGGAACAGTCCTTTGGTCTGCTCCGTGCTCATCATGAAGTGGGTGGAAGAACCGCCTGCACTCTCCCCGAAAATGGTAATGTTGTTCTCATCCCCGTTGAAATTGGAAATGTACTTCTTGACCCACTTAAGAGCCAAAACTTGATCCTTGAGGCCGGCATTTCCGGGAACCTTCAGGCTGGGATCCTTGAGCGAAAGAAATCCTGGAAGTTAACAGTAACAAGGAAACATTAAAAAGCTACTTCTTCGCATTTCAAGGAATGAACTATATCCTCCTTAAATTAATTTTAATTTGAAGACCATCAACAGATCAATAAAAGTATTTTCAAACTTTTATATTATATTAATATCATACTTTTCGTAATTATTAAACATTATTCAGTTTTTCGACTTTATTGTTTTTAATTCTTCTTTAAACATAGGTATTTTTTAAAATGAATAATCAAAAAAAGTTGTATAAAATAATCAAATTGATCTTTGAGCACCTCACTGAATGCAGTGCACTTTGCACATTTTATCGAATTAGCTTCTGACAACAACATGATTCTTCAAAATATAAATGTGAACCCAAATCAGATAAGATCAAAAAAATCGCTTGACAATGCGGATAAGATAAGCACAGACAATTCCTAACGACTCACCTAAACAGTCCACCCGATAGTTCAGCGTCACCAGGACCACATCCTTGGTCATGAAATAGTCTGGTCCGTAGATTTCCCGGGTGGCCTCGCCGATGGTGAAGGCCCCTCCATAGATATAGACCAACACGGGCAAAGGCTTGTCACTCTTTAGCTGCAAAAACAAATTAGCAATCAGCTACTAAAAGCGATAAGGCAAACAATAATTTGTTTTGTGATTTGTACAAAAATATAAAGGGCTAAGTTCACAAGTTAAGCAACTTTACGTGTACATGGATTAATTCATTTACGATGATTTCTTTGCCTTATATCGTTTATGCGATGTGAGTAGATAATGAAGATGTTTTTAAAGCAGAATGCAATCTCGAAACAACTGTATTAAACATTTAAAGTTTGCTGTGTTTATTTTCTTGAATACGTTTCCTAGCTTTAAGATATTATCACTTACCTGCTTGGAGTACACGTTAAGATACAAACAATCCTCGGTGCCCTCTATGATTCGGGTCAATAAATTCCGCTGGATTGGTTTCTCCGCAAAGTGACTGCAGTCCAATACTCCGCTCCATGTATCTGCTGGCACTGGGGCCTTGAATCTCAATTCTCCCACTGGTGGCTTTGCGAAGGGAATCTTCTCAAAGCTAAAATAGTTGTCTTCGTAGAGACTCAGTCGCTTAACGCCCTTAATTTTACCCAGAGGCAAGGTAAGTTCACTGGTTTCCAAACTACGATAACCAAGATCAGTTAAATACACTTTCGGCTTCTAATTAATCAAACTCACATCTCTGACATCGTTTTAGTCGTCCGGTTGCGGCCCGTGTCGTCTGCGGAATGAATTAAATATAATGAATTTGAAAAGCCAAAGCCAAAGCAACACAAAAAGTTCAAACCTCACAGAAGTGGCTGAAAAAACATGTGTGGTGGTCGAGCTTTTTCAACTATCAGGTGTTATTGGTGGCGACACCTTATCAATTAATCGTTTGAATTGTCAAAGGTTTGTTTGCAAAGACAAAAAATATTTGTATTTGCCGCAAATACAAATGTTAAATAAAATCAATAAATAGGCGTTAGGCGATAAACTTAAATCTTTTATGAAAAATTATGCTTACAGTTGATTATTCCCAGATTTAAAAAAAAAGATTTGCTTTGCAAATAAGAGCATTTCTTATTTTTTAAGATTAATGATTAGTGAATGGGATTAGATTAAAAATTTATTTTACACAATACATATGCTTTTTTTTATTTATTATATAAAACCTTTTAAAATAAAGGCACTCCAGCCGTTTCGTAAAGCCGGTCGAAGAACTTAAGCTTCGGCATCTCTGGCTGGGGAATAAACTTTAGTTCCTCGCTGATGTTGAGAACCATTCTTTTTCCAAACCGAGTGACCGGCTTCCACTCCACCAGAGGTTTAGTGAGAGGAGCATTGGGATCCGAGGAGGCGGCAAACTGCACGAACATGGCCACCATTCTGCAGATGGCGGCGAACTCTGGTCGAGATTGCTCCAACTTAAAGGTCGCTGGAAGCACGAAAATGTATCCCAACTCGTCCACATGGCCGACTCCTCGAAGTTCTTTCCCCATAAATCGAATCCGGTAAAAGTTGAAGTCCGGCGAGTCGAAATCGAAGCGGTAGAGATAAGTGGGTGCCTGGGCGTACTTCAATCTGGATTGAATGATCCGGTCCATCGAGTGCACCATGCTGTGGGTGAAAAGGTCCTCTAATGCGGGTTGGTGACCTTCAGTCAACTCAAGGCCACGAGCCTGGCAGAAGTGGTGGATCAGTGACTGACCCAAAAGACGTCGCTGGCCGGGATCACAGCGATTCCTCAAAGTCCAAGGCAACGCGATCTCCGGGTTTTGCTGGAACCCCTTTAGCCATTTTGGGTTCATCTTCATGGCGTTGATAGGACTTATTCCCTCGCCACTATTGGCTCCCAAGATGATGGGGATGCGGTTGCTCCAAGAAGTTTGCTGGAGGTCAATGGGTTCCGCTTGGAGAACAGCATTGGGCGTGGCATACCTCTCTATGATTGGTCTGAAGGCCATAAAATGACCTAGTTTCTTCTCCGCTGGAGTGAAGAAGTCCGCGGAGACCAGCAAATGTGGATCTACCCTTGAGAGAAACTCGAAAACCTCTCTATCCACATTTTCCCCTTCGTATCCCAAGTGTTTGGCCAGGCGGAATTCTATTTGGGGCAGACTATTGAGCTCCATTGAGTATCCTGCCATGAGGATGGCCTTGTGGAAAAGGCCTTCTGTTTGAGGAGTGGCTAACAGCAGTTGAACAGTCATGCTGCCAGAACTGTGACCGAAGATAGTAATTCTGTTCGGGTCTCCATTGAAGTTGGCTGCATTCGCCTTGATCCATTTGAGGGCCAGGATGATGTCCTTTAGACCAGCATTCCCAGGAATCAAGCGTCGGATCCTTAAAACTGAGAAAGCCTGGAACATTATATAAGTTTTGTATTTGCTTCACATGAAGACTGTTTTAATTTTCGTTTATTTCCACTTACCCAAGGGACCTAACCGGTGGCCTATACTTATGTACACAACGTTTTCCTTCATGAAATAGTCAGGACCCCATGCTCGTCTTGAGGAATCACCGCCCTTGAAACCCCCTCCATGGATATAGACCATTACAGGCTTAGCCTCACCAGTTAGCTAGTAAAAATAAAGTCAAGCTTGTGAAATATAATATTGCTTAATAGATGGATTGCATAACTCACATTTTTAACTGATATATTCAAGTAAAGGCAATCCTCCGATCCCTCAACCAACTTGGTTAGGGAGCTCACTTGCAGGCACCTGCTTAACGGCTTTGAGCAGTCTCTAATTCCACGCCAGGGCTTCAGATCGTGTGGCTCCTTAAAGCGCAAAGTTCCCAGCGGTGGAACAGCATATGGAATGCCATCAAAAGCGTAGAATTGTTCGTCGTACAGCGATTTAAGCAAAGTTCCTTGCACTTTTCCATGCGTCGTCTGCACGATCGGCGACGTTTCGTTGCTAAAATATTTACATAATAAATATAAAAAAATTCGTGCCTTTTGGGAATAACCCTCTTACTGTTCGCCCGTCATCTCCGAACAGCAGCAGTTTTCGGCGAGTACTACTTGGCTTTTTCCGAAATTAGCCGTAAAGACCACCATCGATAGCCATGGCTTATCAGCCTAAATATACTCTGATCGTTTTCGTATCTCTCGAGCAATGGTAAATTTGCTCCAACAACGCGTCAAAAATAAAAGTATTAAGAAGGCTATCTTGAAGGGCTTTTATAAGAATATCGGGAATAAACATTATACATTGAACGAGATTGTGGAAAGCTTAAAAAACAGAACTCTTATTAAAAACAATGTTATTGCGGACGAAATATTTTTATTTAACCAAATACTTTTCTTTACATTGTGGTATAAGTTTTTTTTAAGAATAAAATGGTTTTTGTAAATTTGTTTCTTTGGACGGTAAAATCCATAAAAATCCTTATTTTCTAACTATAAAATTATAATACACTACGAATTTGCATAATTGATTTTGAATAATCTTGACTAGTCGCTAGATTGGCAGACACTTTCCCAGACCCTCAGTTTCTGGAGCTCCGGCAGTTCTATCAGCCTGATGTTTTCCGAGATGTTGAGACACTCCAAGGCGGATTTGCTGTTTAGGGGCTTCCATTCCTTGGCCCGAGGAAGCTGGTCCGTGATAAGCTTGCAGTTCGGATTGGAGGTTCTGACAAAGCTCGTCACCATGTCGATCATTCGCTCGATGGTCAGGAACTCGGGCGTGTGCTTGTCCAGCTTCCAGGAGAAGTCCCCGTACCACAAATACGAGTGATCGTCGACGTGGGCCACGCCACGCAACTTGTCGCCGCAGTACTTCAATCGCTGGTGATTGAAGGTCGGCGAATCGAAATCGAAGCGGTACAAGTAGGTGGGCGCCTTGGAGTGACTAATACGAGACTTCAGCGTTTTCAAGATGGGATGCCAGAACACCTTGTAGCTGGCGTACTAAGAAAAGAAAATAATCATTTGAATGTTATAAGATAGGCTATAAGCTGATATAAGTATTTTGTCATAAGTTAAGACATAAGAATCAGGAAATTAATTCATTTTTCTAATATTATTATTTTGTATTGAGACCAGCAAAATTATTTAAAGTAGACATTCTAATAATTTATAGGTCGAACCATCTAACACAAAGGGGCGTAAATTAATTTTAGACCAGTGATTTGGTAAAAGAATATGGAATTTTTGTGGAACAGTTTTGTTAACAATTTTAGTACCAAAACCTCACCTCGCAATAGGCCTTTAAGGAATCCGGCGACATGGACGAGGGGTCGCTTCCGCCGAAGTGGGTCTCCTGGAGTCGCTGGCCGAGATGGCGAGCCAGTGCCTGCGGAAGACTTCGCTTCACATCCAAGGGCAGCATGTGCTCCGGCTCGTTCTTGAGGCTGGTCAGCAGATACGGAGCCATCTGCACGCGGGCGTACATCAGGAGTCCCTCGAAGGAGGTGCCGCTCATCAGCACCGGGATCCGGTTGCCCCAGGCCTTGTCCAGCAGCTCCTGCGGGTGCTTGGGCAGCACACAGTGCTCCGTCTTGTACGGCTCCACCATGGGTCCGAACTGGAAGACGCAGTCGTCCAGGTGCTCCGCCTCGCTGAGGAGGTACGGCCGAACGAGCCTCTCCCCCGGCAAACTCTGCAAATAGTCCAACACCATGGCGTCGGTCGCGTGCGCGGCGCTCTCCAATCCCAGAGTGGCGGCCAGTCGGTGGGGCAGGTTCCTGATGGGGCAGAGGGCCCAGGAGCAGAGCACGTTGCCCGACTGCAGGATGGCCTTCTGGAAGAGACCCTCCGCCTTGGGGTTCAGCATCAAGTAGTGAACGGAGGCAGCTCCGGCACTCTCCCCAAAGGCGGTGATGTTATTTGGATCTGCATTGAAGCTCGCCGCGTTCTCCTTGATCCACTGCATCGCCAGAAGCTGATCCTTCAAGCCAGCGTTCCCGGGAACTCCGACAGCGGGATCACTCAAGCTCAGGAAGCCCAGGGGACCCACGCGGTAGGACACCGTTACCACGACCACATCCCGCATCATAAAGTAGTCGGGACTATGCAGTTCCTTGGTGGGATCGCCTTTCTCGAAGCCGCCTCCAAAAAAGTACACAATCAGCGGCAGGGGACTCGCAGAGTTGAGCTAAAAACAAACAAAGGTATGAGGGTAATGTTTTTAAATTTGTATAGCCTTTGATATAAGGGTAAACCTTAACAAATTAATTATATAAGTTTATAATATATGATGTATCCTCTATATCATTCACTGCTTAGATCGAAGCATCAGTTTTTAGGTATTAAACGAGATCAACTATTGGCAAATACTCTTAAAACCATTTTCAAAATGCACTTCGCGCTCTAATGGGGTTTTAACGTTTTGTTGCCTTACAATGTCTCTAGCTAGGCGTTAGTAACCCAGAACTAAGCTCTGTAATACATTCTTATCTAAAGAAAAAGGTTCTATATCTGAAGCAATAACGCGGCCACAACTTTGCACGTTGATAAACAGGTTAACGTGACTCAGCTTATAAAATAATCACATACAGGTAAACTTATCTAAATAAACAAACTTTCCGTAGGTAAGTCCCTCAGTAGGTGAGAATATAGGAAACATTTTGTTAGTACCGTCTTAATCTTAATTCGGGTTATTAAAAGTAAGTGCCAGGTGTATATAAAATATATGATTGGAAATCTTTTTTCTTAGAATTCGAATTATTCTAGTCGTGCCTGAACTATTGTACTCGAATCCAACGATAATAAAAAACTAAGGTAGTACCTCTTTGGCGAAGACATTCAGGTACAGGCAGTCCTCGACGCCCTCCAGCTGCTTGGTGTAGTGGTTGAACTGGAGGGGCTTCTCCCCTTTTTTGGTGCAGTCCAGTGGTTGAGTCCAGGGCTCCACGGGCAGTGGTGCCATGAAGCGGAGCGGACCCACCGGCGGTTGTGCATACGGAATCCGCTCGAAGCTGACGTACTCGTGGCCATAGACACCTGTACACAGTTTTCCGCGCACTGGACCACTGGTCGTGTTCACCTGCAGACTGGAAGGTCCGGGAAATGTAAATTCACGGCGGAATATCCACGGATTTTCGACCTCACCTCTTCATGTTCAGCGCTTCAATGCGAGTTGCTCACTTTGCTCTTTTTATCTTGCACCGGAAAAGCATTTATGACTCTTTTTATCGCCCGCAAGCAAAATAAAAAACGAAAACAACTGATTTTCAGAGACAGCTGATTTTCAGTTTGCTTTTGTAGCTTTTTCGATTCTCTGTGTGCGTTAAAGTTTAAGGTTAATGCCATTGTAGTTGTTTATGAACTGTTGGTGTTATAATCAGCTGAGCAAGCGATCACTAGAAAAAAGCTTTTGAAGCTTTAACAGTTATCTGTTAACAGTAACAGTCGCAGCCACAAAAATTCAAATAAATGGTACACCAACCAAAATGTAGACATATCTTTAAGACGTAGATGTATAATATTAAACTACCGAGAAAACATAAGTTCATTTTTTCTTGTTGGTTTAAGTGATCTACAAAACGGTTAAAAAAATTTTTTCTTAACAGTTCACGGACACCAATAAAAGTAATTTGTATTAATATTTTAGCACTTGTTATTCGTAAGAGAAGCTAGAGGTTATGGAAGATTAATGATTGATTAACATCATAGATCTAGATCTGCCAATCTACCAGTACGCAGATAGGGGTTCATCTCGGGAACTAAAATGTTCATTGGATTTTAACCAGTAGAACCTCAAGATACCTAAGTAAAACCTAACTGATCGCTTTAAAGGTTAAGAAATGTTTGTGTTTCTTGCATGCTTACAAAAGATTCAAACATTTCATCACTAAAATAAGTTTTAAGAAACTATGTTTAAACTATGCCCATTAAATAGTAGCCAAATCATTTTTCCAGGACCTGAATTACTGGAAGTGTTTTATTTCGTTATCTGTAGCTTTTCGCCGATTGCTGATTAGTGGCGGTGTATATAAATGATTTGCGATGTATACACAAGTGTAATGCCTGCGTCTCAGCCGATTTAAGGGGCTGGAGCCAAAAACCTGCGCTCAGTCGCGCTGCAAACTTTGATCGGTCCAATAATCCAGTGAACTTCTTAACAAAAGGCAACATAAGACCAACATAATTCGGTTAAAGTCATTACTCAGTAACCCAGGAAAAAAACTAACAGAAATATGGAAGTTCAAGTGGGCTGGCCCAAGTTGCTAAAGATGGCCACCCAGTAAGTAATCAGTGTAAAGGTCAAATCTTCAGTTCCAAAGTTGAATTTCAAGATTCTTAGCCTTCGGACCTGGTGCCACCTTTCGGTTATCACCTCGTATCGCTTATCGCGCCAGACAGACAGACACCTAGCCCCCCATTAACACCCGATCTCTCCCACAGGTTGGTGGGCCACAAGATCCAGCAGTTCCGCCTGTCCACAGGTCACACCGCAGTCGTGGATACAAAGTACGGAAAGGTTCGCGGTCTCCAGAGGAAGACGGTTTACGATGAGGAGCTGTACTTCGCCTTCGAGGGCATCCCGTATGCCAAGCCCCCTGTGGGGAGCTCCGGTTCAGGGCTCCCCAGCCACCGGAACCCTGGAACGGGGTTCTCGACTGCACCACCAACCGGTCGAAGCCGCTGCAGAGGAACATGCTTTTGGGGAACGTCGAAGGCAGCGAGGACTGCCTGCACCTCAATGTGTATGCAAAAAACCTGGAGTCGGAAAAACCTCTGCCCGTGATTGTGTGGATCTACGGAGGCGGTTTCCAAAAGGGCGAGGCCTCCAGGGACATATACAGTCCTGATTACTTCATGAAGCAACCGGTGGTGTTCGTTACCATCAATTACAGGTTGGCAGCATTGGGTGAGTTTTCAAGTTTAAGTTTACTTGTCCCTTTAAATTTAAGTAGAATAGATTTGAACTGTATTTCGCAGATGCTAGTGGGGTTCACCAAAGATTAAAGCTTATACTTATAATCTTTGTCAACTACAATCATTTTATTTATTATTCAACTCACTATACGTTTGCTTAGTATACGGTTTAGTGAACACTAATAGAAACAGTATTCAATGTGTTTTTTCTTCCGGTTCTAACAGTAAAGGCCTAATGTGAAGTAACTATCCATGCTAAAATATAAATTATGCCTCCCTGCTAGCAAAGCTTTTACCAAGAAATATATGTATTGAATTGTTTCCAGATAAGCGATTAACAAAAGAGCAAAATAAGCATTACCTTGCTAGTTGAACAAATTACTCTGGCCTATCCCAACAATAAGAAACCAATTTTTGCACCGAATATACTTACATCAGAGTTAACAAATTATTTTGAAAAGAATTAAATATTTTATATTTGTAATTTTGACTAATTTGAATTTAAATCCCATTAAACGCTAAAATAAAAATTCAATGGATGCTTAATCCATAAATACAATTTTTTGAACCTAAAAAAAATAGATTAAATTAAATTAAGATTTTGATTTTGTTTGTGCATATATAGATTCAATTCTCAGTTTTATTTTAAATTCATATTATTTTTTTTTATATTTAGGTTTTCTCAGTCTCAAGGACCCGAAGTTAGATGTTCCTGGAAACGCGGGTCTGAAGGACCAAGTGATGGCCCTCCGTTGGATCAGTCAGAACATCGGCCACTTCAACGGGGACCCCAACAACATCACCTTGATGGGGGAGAGTGCAGGATCGGCTTCTGTCCACGTGATGATGACCACGGAGCAGACGCGAGGACTCTTCCACAAGGCCATAATGCAATCGGGATGTGCTCTGAGCGAGTGGGCTGAAAGTCCTGAGAACGACTTTGCCTTCCGGTTGGCGGAGAAACTGGGCTACAAAGGCAGCAACAAGGATGCCGATGTCCTTAATTTTTTAAACAAGGCTTCTCCTCGTCGAATTGCTGATGTTGACCAGGATGTGATTACCAGGGACGAAATACGGAGCTTCCTTCTCTTTGCCTTTGGACCGGTGGTGGAACCCTATGAAACCGATCACTGTGTGGTGCCCAAAAGACACAAGGATATGTTACCCAAAGCCTGGGGCAACGACATACCCATCATTGTGGGTGGAAACTCCTTCGAGGGCTTGTTCTCATACCAAATTGTTAAAAATGATCCCTGGACCGTGAACAATTTCCACAACATCCTTCCGAGGGAAGTGGCGCAAGCCATCAGCTTGGAGGCGCAGGATCAATTGGTTCGACGGCTGAAAAAAGCCTACCTCAAAAACGAAATGCAGGAATCGATGGGAATGTTTGAGGCCCTAACCATATTTTCACATCGCCAAGTTTGGCACGATCTGCATCGTTTGGTTCTCGCCCGCCGGAAATACGCCCCGAACTCATCTACTTATTTATACCGCTTCGATTTCGACTCACCACATTTTAATCAGTTCCGGCGATTGGTTTGCGGTGATCACATTCGCGGTGTGTCCCATGCCGATGAGCTATCGTACCTCTTTTACAACGTCATAGCCTCAAAACTGGATAAATCATCGATGGAGTACCGAACCATTGAGAGAATGGTGGGTATGTGGACCTCATTTGCCTCTAGTGGAAATCCGAATTGTCCTGAATTGGGAACTGCCAAGTGGAAACCAGTCCGACTGGTTGAAAACGAAGTAGAGGAGTGCTTCAACATCAGTCAAGATCTGGAAATGATTAAGTTGCCCGAAGCCAAAGTTTTGGCCGTTTGGGATTCGTTCTACCCCCGCGACGATCTTTTCTAGTTCTTAAAACCTAAAAAAAAATACTTAGTCTATTCAAATTGTGTAGTGTTCATTTCAAAATAGCTGCGCATCCTTTAAATACATCAATGAAAATGTTCTTATACAGTGACGATTTGATAAGTGACGAATTGATAAGAGACATATAAGTTGAATACGTTAATTATTCATAAAGTTTTTGTTTACAAGTTAGATTGTATTAGGTATAAATAGAAAATAGAGATACGCATGCTTTTTTGGCTATTTTAAAAATTCTATTAATAAGATCATATAGATCAGTGCTTATCTCAAGAGGAACTTAGTATCAAATCCAAAAATATTGTGTAAACTAATTAGCTTAAACTGAAGATAATTAATTGAAATAAATAAAAAAATATGAAAATCATTTAAAATTATTTAAGAACTGGAATTTAAGCAAAATGAATTGTTTTGTGTTAAAATACACGAAATCGCTTTGTTATTGCTGACGCTCTCATTAAGAGAAAAAACATCGCCTAGTCACTGCGAATGTCAAGTTTAAGGTCAGCAAGTGAAAATTTATCTGGCAAAGGCGAACTGCTTTTCGCAATGTGATTAATGCAATCACCCAAACCAGTTCTAGATTTATGCATATCTACTTTGTATATGTTGTGATACAACCCGTAATACTTCCTAAAGTTGTTTAATTTTTGTTATAGGGAAAACATGCGAGTTTAATTGAATCAATGATATGTATTAGTAGCTTGGCCATATACACAAAATTATTTAATTGAATGATGAGTTCACTTAAAAATGTGTAAAAACCGCATCATTAAAAAATTAAATTACCTTTACATTTTCGTATGGCATAAGCCATGTTTATTTACAATATTTACAAACCTCCACCTAACATAAGTCGTGTTTAGAGTACAGTTTATCCCAAATTCGGTTCTGTTTGGACTCCGGCAACACAATAAACTCCAGTTGTTTTCCGATGTTGAGACACATCTGAGGACCTTCTTCCTCCAGTGCTTCCCAAGAGGTCGGATTGATCTGCGGACAATTGGGGTTATCGTTTCGGGCGAACGCCACCCACATTCCCACCATCCTCTGTATGGTTTGGTACTCCAGCGAGGACTTCTCCAGTTTGCTGGATAAAATGTGGTAAAAGAGGTAGGAAAGGTCATCGGCATGACTGACTCCACGGACGTGTCTTCCGCACATCACCTGCCGGAAGTGATTGCAGGTGGGCGAATCCACATCGAAGCGGTACAAATAGGTGGGCGTTGTGGGGGCGTGACGGAATCTGGCTAGCACTGTGCGGTGGATGCCATGCCAAAAGTGCTTTATGGACAGAATCTGCAGGCACTCGTTGAACTCCATCCTTCCACGAGTTGCGTCCTCGAAGTTATCCACCTTGAACTGACGCAGCAGATCCTTCAGTTGAGATTGGGAGCTCCTCTGTCTGATCTCTCGGGGAATCAGGGCCTCGAAGGCACTCAGCATGTGCTCCTCGTCGTGAAGGGTGGACTGGTAGGAGAAGAGACCCTCGAATGAGTTTCCTCCCAGGATCAACGGTATGTCATTTCCCCAAGCCGCAGGTTGCATCTCTTTATGGCAACGAGGCAGAACGCAATCCATGGTGATATATGGTTCCACCACTGGAGTGAAAGGAAAGAGAGCGTAGTTCCGTCGTTCTTCCTGGGAAATCAGATGGATTGCCTGGGCTGCCATTTCCGAGGCGGGAGCCTTCTGCAGGAACCGGAGCACCTCCTTCTCGTTCTCACTCCCCGAGTAGCCCAACTGACAGGCCAGCCTGTACGCCCACCTGCCACTCGGCTCGTTGGCCCACTCGCAGTACAGCGACCCCGATTGCATGATGGCCTTGTGGAAGAGTCCCCGCGTCTGCTCAGTTGTCATCATCGCGTGGACGGAGGCTGCTCCCGCACTCTCCCCCACCAGAGTTATGTTCTGGGGGTCTCCATTGAACTGGGCGATGTTCTCGCGGATCCAGCGAAGGGCCATCACCTGATCCTTTAGGCCAGCGTTCCCAGGCACGTCCAAATCGCGATCGGAGAGGCTGAGAAAGCCTGGGAATAGCAAAGGGATTTTGATTAATAGTTGTTGAATATAGTTAAATTAAGCAAAAGTTTTTCATTATATTAATCAACATTAACTAATAGAATTCCTCATGTGTCCTTTGCCATAGAGATTTATACTAAGGTCATAATATTGAACTGAACTGATTTGGAATTAAAATTGGACAAGAAGAGCATCGCTTGTGAATGAACAAAACTTATTTAAGAACTTATCACCAATTTTCAAAAATCAATGAACGTACATTACGGACAGACAAAATTGGATCGTTACTGTGACATTGCATGATCTTGCATAGATACTGCATTAACTAATCGGTAGGGGTTTAATAATTGCAGGTGAGTGTTTTTCTCTCCCGCCAATTTAATAACAGCTAAAACGACAGTTATATGAAGTGATTTAATAACTGTGGAAGTGGTAGTAGCCGGCAATTAAACTTCACTGTCTGAGAAATATTTCCGATTGAAATTGACTTTAGCACATAAAACACGCAAAGTGAAATTTGAACGATGATAATATATATCTTCTCTGAAGGTTTGGTGGTTTAAAAAGTATTCAAGCTAATGAACTGTTTTGTTGCCGCATTTTAAAACAAATTAGAAAATAATTGACACTTAGTAACAAATATGCATTATACTAATACACAACTGAAAAATGAAAAAAAGTAACAGTTATTATAGCAATATTTTGTAGTTCAAACTACTAACCCAATGCGCCCACTCGGTAATTAAATGTGACAACCACCACATCGTGCTGCATAAAGTAGTCCGGACTATAGAAATCGCGACTGCCCTCGCCGATCTGGAATCCACCGCCATATATCCACACGATCACGGGCAGCGGCTTGTCCGTCTTGAGTCGCTTGGAATACACGTTTAAGTACAGGCAGTCCTCGCTGCCCTCGACGATGCTGAGGACGAAGTGCCGCTGCACGGGCTTGGCCCTCGGATAAGTGCAGTCCCTCACTCCCGTCCAGGGGCGTGGTGGCTGGGGGGCTCTAAACCGCAACTCCCCCACGGGTGGCTGAGCGAAGGGGATTCCCTCGAAGGCGAAGTAGGACTCCTCGTCGTAGAGCGCCCTGCGGCGGAGTCCCCTCACCTGTCCGTCCCTCGTGCAGACCACCTTCGTCTGCTTCGTGGCCAGCCGGTACTGGACGATCTTGTGGCCAATGAGCCTGGGCAAAAATAAAATACATTTATAGTTTCAAGTTGATAATAAACATACAAAATATGATCTTATTCTGTTTGATAACTTTAATATTGATATTGTTGTGTTTACTTTTCATTCACTATTCGATCTTCATTTTTTGTTTTGTAGGCTGGGGGTTAAGGTTTTTGAGAGAAAGATATTGAGTTTAATGACGAGCTTTTCTTATCTTATCGCTGTGAGAGCGAATACAAGCGATCAATTGAGTACAGTAAAATACTCCTTTGTAGGAAGCATTATACAGTATTGTTAAAAAACAATATTTTTAATCAGCAAATTTTGTCTATTAATTCTTACTTTATAAGAATATTTTAAACTTAGATTTAATGAGACTTGTTATTTCTTCATCACGCACTCAATGTGAATTATAAAAGCTTACAACAAAAGAAAAAAATCAATGGATTGCGATTTAATCTTTTTTAATCTTAAGTAGGGGGTTAAGGATTCCGTACGAAAAAATCATAAATTAAGTTCAGAAGCAGGCAACACTTAAAAAAAATACTTTGCTCCACTTGAATGACACAATAATCTGCATTCAAACTACAAACTTTGGGTTATTTTTAGGCCCAATATTCCTTATCGGGGTGTTCGATTAAACTTGTTGGTCACTCGCATACAACAAGTTTATTGAAGAAAAGTGAAGAACGAAGAATGGATTGTAAACACCAACAACTTTGTGGTACAATGTCCCTCTAAAGAGAGCATTTACTGTAATTGCACACGAATGACCTACTTAGTGCCCATTTTCAGCAGATCGCCCACTCCCACTCGGACCTCCATGGCTCGCGACTCCAATTATTTTTACTACTATTATATAGTTAATCCAAGGGTCGAAATTAGCCTATATTCCGATCCGGTTAACGATTGTGATGGCAACACTTCCGCAGGCCGCGATCGCTGGGGAGCAACTGAACCGAGCAGTGAGAACCGTACAATCCGATCTATCAGTTCAACTGCCAGTACTTTGCCCACAGCAGCCTCAATTCAGTTGCGGGTTTAATCACGACCGACGCTTATCGCAATATGAGTTGCTGCACCGAAACATATGGCGGGAATATGGAGGTAGACTATTACGACTGATAAGCGGAGAGAACCGACTACTCACTACATACAGCTGTTTCGTGTCTTGTGGGTAATTGCTTTTTAATGATTATCTGTGTGCTCTCAAAAGTGATATAAAGTCGGTGTTTATATCTATGGAGCATCGGTTAAAACCTGCCAAAAGTCATCAACGATCGCGGTTATAGATCATGCAATTTACTCAGTAATGGACTTCACTGTAAACTTTGCAACGAATGTGCATTAATTTATGAGCAATCACTTTAACATTTAAATTAAAGCAGCGTGCGCAGCTAACATGAACTGCTTTCACTGCTTTCTTCACTCTGTTAACGCACATTTTTTAAAAGTGACTCTCTAGAGTTCTTTATTTGCAGTTTTAAAGCGTCAAAAAAATTTGTAATGGGAAACCTAAAAGTTTTCCTTTTTTCTTATTATTAACAGAACAAATAAATAACTTTTTACTATAGGGTAATGTATGTTGGTAATATGTTTTTTATGTATCGTAAGGGCAGCTGCCCCTCTCAATAGAAAAAAAAAAATTATAAATATACAAATGAATAAACTAAATTATAAATCTACAAATAAAGAAACTAAATTAATTAAATACTTCTTTCAACACCTTTCTTGGTTAGATATTTAAAATATTAATTTATAAGTATTCTGTAAGTCGGTGTCTTTAATTAAAATATTTTGAAAAAACAGTTTGTTTCTGCAATATTATTTAGTATAATACGAATGTATGTTTATCAACAACAAAATTATAAACATTTTTATGAATTTTAATTTAATTCCTAAGGCAATAATTTCTCAAAAAGTTTCTTTCCTATAAAATAAACAGGCAGTCGAACAGTTTGACATTTCTAAAGTCAACCATCATGTGTGTGATTTTTAATTACACAAGGTAACTTTACTTTTTCAACTAAGTTCCTTTGAGCTTAAACGTAGTTGTTTATTTTCTTATGTCCACTAAAAAATGCAAATAAACAACTGAAATTAAAATAAAATGCTCCAACTTTTTCCTGATAATTGAAAACAAATACTTAAAAGTTATAAATTTGCATGTGCATTTCTAAGCATTACATATTTGAGAAAAGAAATGTTGTAAGCAAAGCAAAGGAAAAATTGTATTTACGCGTAAACGATTTTGATTAATAAGCCAGCCCAAAAGGCAATGAGGACGGACGGCTGCGTCAACTAATTAAAAAATTGTCATAAATCCCACGAGTTTAACCCATTTACAGTCGACTGGCCTGCTGAGAAATGGGCAAGAAAGGGATTGCTCGTATAACTTGAGCAGCTACTTAATTACACTTGCGCGCACTTTAATTTCCAGTTAAAAAATGCTTACCGAAAATCGTAAGCGACGGCAAAGAAATGTTAATTTTTGGCCTCCCCTGGAAACGAAGGAGGGATGCCAAGTCAAGACGGGCCGAAACAATGTAAATTATAGGCTTAAACCGAGATGTGGAAAAGGAAGAGAAGTCAAGCTCATCGAGTTGGTTACATGGAGGAGCTTATTAAATTATGCGGAGGACTTCGGTTGGCAGGGGTGTGGTCTTAAATTTCCAGCATTCTAATCTCGATTTAAGCCAGAGAAGGCAGCCCTGACGGTATCAAGTGAATTCAATGTCAAAAGGGTTAATTGAAAGTGCCGCAGCAGCTGTCGGCCCAAAAAAGGAAAGTGGGAAATACTGCCGGGAAGGCTTTTCCCGGGCTTCCCTTTCCCAGGTTCATATGGCAAATATGCAGTAGTCATAAAATCAAAGTCCATAAAACGATGTTTCCCGCCGCAGTGCATAAAATCTTTTTCTTTGGGTTCGGCTAGAAAGTTTCATGTCTTGGGTCTTCTCAGTTTTTTTATTCTGCTTATTGCACCCGAAGGGACTTTTTACTCACTTGTGTAACCAAACTATTTTGAATTTTAAATTCAGACAAATTTCTATGCGTCACAAATTATGTGTGCCTCGTTGGGGATATAAAAATTGGAGTGGGCTGTATCAGGGGAAATATTGTTTTCCCTTTTGCTTTGCGATATTTTTGTGAACAAGTTAAGTTCAATTTGCCACGTGCCTGATTTTGAATTTCCTTGAAGCTTGTTATCTAGCCATCGAAGGCCAAAATGATTTCAATAAATTTCTTCTACTCCTAAATGTTATACAGGAAAAAAAATTAATCTAAAATTGTTGGAACTCTATTTTTATTTAAATGATTCCTTGGAACTGTTAAGAAAGGTCGATTCTTTTTTTAATTAAGTATGATGTTTATCAAGCCCATATCAAGCCTTTCGAAAAAGGGTAAATGAAGTACAAGCGACTAAAATCAGAATCAGAAGGGTTGGAATTGAAGTTTGCCGTTTTTAAAAAGTAATTTGGTTAAAAAAGCAAAACGAGTAATTATTAAACTGTCGCCCAGGGCTAAGATTGGGTTAAGTAAGGGGGAAGCCCCTGAACAGCAAAGGTATAGGAAGTTTAAACGTTTTTTTTTCTAAGGGAAAAAGGTGCAAGCCATAAAGTTTACTTTCCCTTCTGAATACATTCTTTATTTGGGTACCCTGAAAGGAACTGAGAAAAAGAAATAAATTAACTTTCTTAGGTGGAAGGACTCGGCAAGTGCTCGGTCCCCATCAATGGCTTAATAATGGACTGCTCGTCTTATTATTAACTGAATGCTTTTTGATCTTTCCAACGCAAATTACAAGCTACAAGAAGTCGAACGAAGGAGTCCGTTTCCCGCTGCTCAGCCAACAATGAAACATTATCCTGGCGCTGGTCCTGGTGTTATATATAACACTTTCAAATTGATAAGGATAAGGACGGGGCGTGGAAGGCGTCGACTCCATCGTCATTTGCCAAGTTTCCACTGTCATTGTCTGGTGGCATTTGTAATTCACTTTGATTAAATATGCAGGGATGCTGGGCTCTCTCGAAGGACACCACTGGACGAGGACCGCATTCAAATGCCGCAGAAGTGCAACGACAATCGAGGGACCCGAAATCCAACAGTTCGTACTACACTCAGATAATTAATGGTGACTTTTGGAGGTAGGCGGCTAAAACATCTACAGGTCTTAAATTGGATTCAAATACTTTTATTTTCAGTAAGAATAATGTCTTTGCTATGAGTTTGAATAAGGATTTGATATATTGATTAAATATATATGTTCTTTTTTAAGTACTAATGATTTTTACAAAAATAAAATTGGAGTCAAGTGCTGAAATAAAAACTGTTTTACTTTTGTACGCAAAACTATAATATAAATATTGAACTTTAAATTATAAGTCAATTCAAAATGTTTATTATTTTGTATACACTTTATTCAAATCCCCAGCAAGACATTGCCTCGAATATATATTCCTTGTTGTATTAGATGCTATAAACAATTCAAAGAATTTTTACCTCAAACATGTTTCCACGTTATTTAGCCATCTTGTATTTAAATTGGCTGAGTGCATCGCGCCGCTTCTTATTCAAGTCGCCAAGAAAGCGCAAAACAAGTTTGTGAATTTCGGCAACGGCGTGTCCTCTGACAGGATATAAAACAATCAGTGCAAGCTAGCGGAAACGGAAGTGCTGCCTTCCCCCCGCTCGCCCCGCCCTCTTTTCCATTCTGTTGTGTGAAATCGTCTAAATTGTGGGCGTGGCAGCCGTTGTCTCTGTGCGAGTGTGTGTGTGTGCGCGTCTGCTGTGAAATGTAGTCCAAAGTTGTTTTGTGGCCGCTGCCGCTTCAAGAGATGACTTACCAAAGAATTGGGAAACCGGGAACTGGGAGTTGGGAACTAGGAGCTGGGATCTAGGAACTGGGGGTGGCATATGAATAGTTGGCGGGGCAGCTCCCCGCCTTTGACTATTGTCTATTTTTGTGTCTATCTCTCTGCTTCTGATTGCATTCTCTGGAAATTTTCAGCTGGGTTTATTAATGGGTTAAATTGAAATTTCACGCTCTGCTGACTTTGGATCCCGTTGTCAGGGCTTGGAGTAGGTCAGGTCGGCATTGGTTGCGGTGCTCGAGGCTAGCCTTGATATCCTTGAACGAATGCATATTAATAGCAATGCGGGTCAGGTTTACCCAACCGAGAGATTATTTTGAAAAGATAATCGAATCAAACAGAATGACAAACTAAAGGAAGACTTTCTTGCTTACATATTTATTGAAAGGGCCAAAATAATGTCACGTAGCAAACGTTGCTAAAAAAAGTAAAAATGAGGATATAATGGAGTTACTTTGGTTTTGATGACTTTTCATTGATTTTTATGGTTTCTAAAATCGTTACCACGCAGAAAAAAAAAATGAAATATATTCAAAAGACAGTTAAGGCTATCAAAATGTAATTGCAAATTTTATCTAACATTTGAGCTTGAAATATAAATGAAAACATCTCAAGATAAGAGCCGTAAATTAAAGCTCTTAAGTTTTAAGGGACATATTTCGAGAGAAAGTTGTCATTGGCGTGGCTGAGTTCAAGCACACGCATAGATTGAATGACGAACTTTTACTTTTCAGCTGTCCCGTGCAGAGTCCTGCGAACTCAGGACCAACAATGGGCCCTGAATATTTTTGGGCTGCTGCTTCCTCACGATGTCAGCTGTCAGGACTCGGTGCGTTGTTGTCCTTGGTTCTGTTTGGAGGGAGGAGCTGAAAATGCAAGAAAACCAAACAGTTTTGTGGCATTTTCTTGCAGTTGACCATCCTTTTCCCACTTCCTCCAGCCGTCTCTTTCCATCATCCGCTGTCTATCTCGCTCGCACTCTGTTCAATGCTCGTTTTTGTCGTCATCGTCTCGTTTTGGTGGTTTATAAATGGAATGCCATGGTGTTCTATGGACTGCTGGCGGCGGAGGTCATCCTTTGTTCCTGTTGCTGACGTCGTTGTCCTTCACTGCTGATTCGGCAGCTCCGAAAGAGACGGCTGCTTTGTGGGAGGGAGACGGAGACTGGGCTGGAGGCTCTTTCTCACAATGATAAACTGCTGCGCTGGTGGCTTGGCTCATGGACATTTGGGACTATTTTGCTAGCCCACAAGACGAGTAACTCTCCAAAATGTTCAGTTCATTATACCCTACCACAGGGTATTGTGAACTTATCGAAATGTTTAAATCACATTTGACCAGAACGTAGTTAAGTTGTTTAATATCAGATACTAACCGAAATAAACAGTTTACTATACTTATCAAAAGCGGTTAGAACTTATAGGTCTATTTTAAGATCCTAATAACATATTTTAGTATATACAACTTACAAGTTGTTTAAGCCGTATCGGAAATTAAAAGCTATGCTCACAAATAAAGTTAGGGCACTAAAAGCTACGGAATTAGACAAGACCTTCTATCTCGTTTTACTTATGCAGTTAGTCATTAGTTGTCTGCGGTTGAGGTTGGTTTATATTGATGACTCTGGTGGTGTTCAAACCATTTGCTTTTGGGGGACAAGTTACAAGCTGCATTAAGGGACACAACTCCTTCTCTCAGGACTTTCGCATTACGATTTACACCCTCGAGCAATTGCAGCGTCATTTGCAATTTGAGAAATTACTGACCTGACATCGTCTTCATATTTAATGAAATTAAACCGGAGTATTTTCCTCCTTGCGTTCTTGAAAAAGATTTAATTTGTATTTATATTTATTATTTCTTTCTGGTTTCTGTTAGCATATGATAAGTCAAAAATTCCATTAGCTAAAACAGCGTGCATGACTTTATTCATTTCATTTTTTGTTGTCAAGCTTGATTTGTTTCACTTCTGAAAGGCAATAGAATTTGTTATGTGTATTACCCTCTATGCAATGATCTTTAAAAAAGATGTTACAAAAACAATCTTGTATGTTTTAACAGCTTTAAAAATAATCTATAACAGCAAAGCATTTGTTTAAATATTTAATAACCAACGAAATTTGCAATGCAATTTGTTGCACAAAACTTCCCCAGTGTAAGTTCCTGTTTGAAGACATTGCTAATTAGCAACAACATTATGTGCTTAGGTGGAGCGCCACTGGCCGCAAAACCAAACTCGTTACATTGTCACACCTAAGGCCCCTATTCCCCAGACCCCGACTGCTATATCCCCCGATCTCCCCGGAACGGTGCCATAAATACTGTGTGCAGCAGACTTGGCGGCCCTGTCTCGTGAAACTGCTCTGTTCCGGTGCCGTTCCTCCCTGACATTCTGCTAATTTAAATTTATTGGAACAAAATTTATGCGGCGCAGTTTCATGGGAGGCGGTTGCTGGAAAGGGGGTGTTGGGAAGGGGAAAAGGGGTGAAAAGGGGGGTAAAGAGGCGGGGCCTGCATCTTCTTCGGCTGCATGCGAAATTTATGACATTCGCCTGCATTGACAATGGCAGGCATCGAAATATGGCAGCCAAATGTACAACGGCCATTTTTATTTTTGGCTTGCCAGCGACAGGGAATGGCCAAAAAGGGGAGTAAGCGAGGCCATTGGAGTATGCAAATGTTGCGGCTTGTTTTGCCAATTTAAATATTTGAATTTACCATAAGAAGGTTATTTGTGTAGGATTCGTTCCCAAAAAAGATTTAAAGCCTGAAACAATATTATAACTTTATCATTTTGTTAAGAAAAGATTAACTTTTACGTCAGAGAAGAACTAACATTCACCCAAGTGTTGCAAGAAGAAGAAGTTATCTGATTTAATTTAATTTTCTTAAAACAAAACAGAAGAGCCATATTGCTTTTGACCCAATTTGTTATAATTCCATATCTAACACAAACTTCTAGCTTTTTTGCAGTACATACTTTGTTTGCATAATTTATATTGTAATTTAAGCGATTGGTGTTTGCTGTTGATTTTGTTGTTTTGGCCGTGGGTAAAAGGGGATGCCTGCACACATTTTCAGTTTTTGTTGTAGTTCTGTGGTCGTTAGTCATGGCCAGGGTTGGCTCACAGGGGAGTGTAGCCGAAAAAATCCTGGCATAGAGAAATTTTAATTGAAATTATAATAGCCTCATTATGCAAATTTTGTTTTTTGTTGCTTATTTTTCACCCGGTGCTCCCACACACAAAAATAAACACAAAACAAGCACATGAAATCCAAAATGTCGCTTTCTCAGTCGCCCCTAACTCTTCTCATTCCCTGGGTTTTTGTTTATTTCCTATTTGTGTTAATAACATTTTTTACTCCTGCTGTGTTTGCCGAATGTTTGTTTTGTTGCTAGAGCAATTTCATTGTTTCGCAGGGAATTTTTCATTTTATACACTTTATTATTGAACAGTTATTTGTTGTTGCTGTTGTGCTTTCTATCGTTTTGTAATTTCCAATTTCAGCGCGGTAATTGTATTTGTTTGACGATTTGCAGAAGGGTAACTTAACTACATTATTAAAACAGGGGATGAGCAACTATAGCGTTCGAAATGATTCCGTGCTAATTTTATTTCATTTTAGAAAAAAAAAATGGGAAATGGCAAATATTTGTGGTTGAGTAAAGCGTGTGTTTGCAATTCCTAATGCAATTTGTGAAGAAAGGTGTTCTTTGATCTAAAATCATAGTCGAAATTTACAGTCCAGATACCGAGATAGACTGAGCTCTAAGAACTTAATGAACAGAAATAGGTCCTGCTGTTAAATTATAATTTGCAATTATAAATTCGTGTGCGGGAGCGAATCATGATTTGGTTTGGTTCCATTAACAGCTAAGCAACTCCAATTTGCAACCTTTTGAATGGTCACCCCAACTGGAGGTTGGACTCATTTACAAAGGGCATAAATAATGCAAGCCAAAACAAATTTTTAACGGCACAGTTCCGCACAACTGGGTGCGCACAAATAGGGGAAATGCACCTGTTCTGCCAGATTTTCGCCACTCCCAACCATTTCACCTGAGCCTGGGTCAACGACCCATTTGGCTCGAATGCGAGGAACGTGTGAGTATTACCATTTAATAGCATTAACTTGAAATATGTAAAAACAAACCCAACTGAGCAATGGAGGAACAGTTCGGGTGAAAATGTTATGGTCGTGAGGATGGGTATACAATTTTCGTCATTAATTGTGGCTTAATGAAAATATATTGGAGAACAACAACTAAAGACAGTCATTTTAATATAAATTGCAATTACATACTTTTATTTTAACTAAATCAATATATATAATTGACTCGGTGGTTCAAGTTCAGTTTTTTTTGGTTCTGTAGAATTTTAGTTTCTTAATTTGTTGATTTACGAAATAA